TGATTCATCAAACCATCTCCATGGCCCTATTTGAAGAAAGGGTATGAAATGTTAAAAACCCATCAGTGTATAAATCTTCATAGTATAGTATAATCTGACATACCTTTCCATTTTCGTCCAGGATCAATAGAAAGAGCATTCAACACAACTGAGAGACTAGCCAAACCACAATACGCAGGCTCAGACTGCGTCTGGAAATAAGAAATCAACCTGAAAAATCCTTCCATGGTTCCTTTCTGAAGCGCTTCATTGAAGATTAGCTGCACGATTTTCAACAACTCAGATGAAAACAGCAACTACTTTTAAGACAGTAACCAAGCAACACAGATTACATTGACAAGTCTAGTCCCATGTAATAATAAAAAGCAACTAAGCTGGATTACTTCTTGTAACAATCAACTGTGTAAGTGTGGCTAAAAAATCCCAGAATTTGGTATTGTTGTTAATTCCTGAATTATTTAACTGGCAGACATATTCAGATCTCACTAATCACTGACCAGACAAGACAGAAACCTGACCATTTCTAAATCTATAACATTATGTGTGTTCTTCTGATCTTGTCGGAATTTCAATTGACCCACCAAAAATATCCACGAATAGTGGAAACAAAACCCAAATCCAGCAGGCTAATATTGCAAAACAGGATCTCTTGAGAACACAAATCAAGAAACAGTAGATGACGAGCAAGATTTACGAAAGCAAAACCTAAAAAACCTAAATTTGCATCCCGAAAATTCATAAATTCAAAAACTTGATCCGTACCTTTCCTTCGGCTGAAGAAAAATCAATCGCCGGAGGAGAAGGAAGAGATCGCCGATATAAACTCGCCATAGCCATTTTTTCACGGGTTTCTCAGAGGGTTTAATATAAAGTTACAGACTTGCGGTGGAAGATTCGTTAGTGGATTCGAAAAGGATGCGCAAGAGAACTTTTTCACGAACTGTTTTTTCAACTTTCGGCGTGTGTGAGATTCGAAAAGGTGAAGACGATTTGTATGTATACAGAGAAGAGACTCAATTATTTGAACTCTCAAAGTCAACGCTCTCTCTTTCGCTCTACGTCGGTCAAGTCAAACGTGAAAAGCGCGACAAAACGACGTTAGTGACCTTGTCAAAACCATCCGGTCTGGTTTGGTTCGGTTTAATTAGTATTACTGGTACATTACACTATGTAAGGTAAATTTGTACGAACTTGATAATTATTCACTTATTAGGAGATTAATTTCGTTAATATTGATTCAATTTTATTTTATTACAGAGTTGGATAAACTAATGGGTCCTGATGTTTCATACTCGGTTCGGTTCGGCTTAGAGTTCGGATGGCCAAATGGACTTGGGTCACTTGACGGCGTGTAGTCACCGTTAGTCTATGGTCAAAATTGGCGCGAGTGGGGAGACATCTTGAACCGGTCGAGAGGACTCCGGTTTATTTGTACCGTAGCGTTTCATTTGGTTCCCAAATCACTTCGAAATAATAAAAGAGTTTGTAACAAACTAACCCACTTTCTTAGTTAAAGTTACAAGTTAAATGACTTTATGTAGGAAGGGGACTTTTTCAACTGTTTATTGCTCGTTTATGCCAAAAATACCCTTGTTATTCCACAAACATTTTTAGACTTTCTCTTTCTTCTTTTTCTTACTTCTTCTCTTTTTTCTTCATTCACGTTTTTTCTTCTTTTTTTCTTAAATCTAATTTATATCATCATCTTTTCCATTCTCACTGATCTCACATTAATTTAATCTCTTCATCTCTAATACTTCATCTTCTTCTTCTTTTGCATCTCTTCACCATATCCAATATATTCATATAAAAAATATTATATTATAGATTGAATCATAAATTTAATTTTCAAACTTTGAAATTAACAATTTTTGTTCATGAACTAAACATAATTTTTTAATTTTGTGATGTACCCAGAATCTCCAAAAACCCAGATAAAATTCGGCTATTAATCCACACAAGAGTGATATGGACAAGTAGACGTGGATATCATATTATGGACATTCATATATTCATGCATGGACGGTCTCACATGGATGACGAGTTATGGACAAATGTGTATTTGTATTTGTACTAACTATGCTTTTTGTAAAAAACCTTCAGTATTAAACTAGTATTGTTCACACAAACGTGTCCATACAAAATTTGTCCAAACTAACTTGTCCACTAATACATTAAAGAGTCTAAGATTTAAGTTATTTAACTATATGTGTATGAACAAGGTTTAGATCCATGATAGCTTGTCCATATAAACATGTCTATTAAAATATATTTATTAATCAGATCCATGATAGCTTGTCCATACACACATATCCATTAAAACATATTTTACGTTTTACATATGCTTCTCTCACGCATTTTATCGAACATATTGAAGGCGTTTTTTGCTTTCAAATATTTTTAATGAAATTAGAGAAAAAACTATATTAGATTTTAACAATTACGATGTTGATGAATTAAAAGAAAAAAAAAGGAGAATTTATCAGAAAACAAAATTATAAAACCGAAATTTAAGAATTTATAAAAAGATTTGTTTATTGTTGGTGTATTTGTGAGAGAGAGGTTAACAAAAAAATCGATTTTGTAATAATTACAGGTAAAAAGGTTTATGAATTGTAAAGGTATGTAGGTAATTTTGATCATGTTAAGTCACCAAATAGCAGGAAGTCATTAAGTTTGTAATATAAACTCAGAAAATGGGTTTGGATGTAATAATTTCATAATAAAATACTATTTGATTGAAGTCTTGAATAAAAAATATATATATATTTCCAGATTATACAAGTGTTACGATCTATTCGACTTGTCAATTACGTGTTGAAACCTTTAAATATTGAATCTATGACTATGATTATACAATTACTAGTTTTTGTTTATTTATTGGAAAAGAATTTTGTTTTTTTTTGGCTAAAACTTGTTTTCTAAAAGATGTTAGTTTGTTTGACCAAAAAAAAAAGGTGTTAGTTTCTTTTTACGGATTTTGTGTTGAAAAGTGAAAACTGAAGAAACATGATGTAAAATCATGTCATTCGATATTGGTTTGTTGTGATCGTCTCATTTCCTCATGTTTACTTTTCTCATATGCCACATTGTTCTGATTACAATATTTCCGAAATTGAATAGAACAAAGTAACAATGCACGAATTTTACGAATTTAATACAGACCCAAAATGTGTAGTCTTGGATTTGACTGGTTGGAGCGATAGATGAAGATTAATTGCCGTAAAATTTAGTTTGAAAAACTTTTGAATTATAAATTTTTATGGTTTGAAGAGAAAACAAAACTAATATTCTTATCTTACCAATCAACCACACAATAAATTTTGTGATTTTCAAGTAAACTCTTGCAGTTTCAGTTGTGTTTGTTGTAAAAATTGACCATATATTCAATAATAAAGTAATTTTGAATCAAATAATTCAGTGTTCAGATATCTAATACCGTTTACTTTTGAGTATTTAAGAGTTAAAAATACTGATCACTCATTAGTCATTTCATCTACAACTAATTTTAACAACTTAATTTTTCTGATATATTTCAATTTACCAATAAAAAAACAATACCTTATGTGTATATTTTTATTTCCAGCTGGTTGTATTGTCCTGAGAGATCCCTCTATCCCAACCAAAGTGGGCCACAATGCTTTAGATATGTCCGGATTTTCCAATTTGCAGCTCTGGCTCTTTCCCGTGCTCTGCTCTCAACGTAAAATTTCATAAAAATAAGTACAAAATATATATTATTAGATGAACAAAACTAAATAATATATAGACAATTAAAGAACGCAACCAAACATTTGAGAAATGTACCGAAGGCCATTCAAGAGGTTCTTCTTCATGATTTTCTTCTTTTTATTATAGACAATAAATCACCAACAATCAAAGAAGAAGGAAGAAAAATAGTGTATATTTTAACCCCCAAAAAAAACTTTCAATGAATATAGATCGTCAAGAAGATAAAAGAAGTGTTGAGTTAGAAAGGGGAAAAGCATACAAACAAAAAAGAAAAATGAGAAAAAGAAACAGATTTTTGTTGTTGAAAAATTACAAAGACATGGGCAAAAATTAGCAACAATTATTTACCTATAAGAAGAAGTTGAAGAGTCATAAAAATTCCATGACCTAAGATCAAAGAAATGGTCAAAGGATAAGCAAAGATTTCGGTGTTGATGCTGTTAACTTCAATGCAGTGATTCCAAAACTTTACCTTTGAGAGTCAAAATATTCTGGTATCACCAATAAACATGAAACAACTTCAGATCAATGCATAAATTTGCCAATTGTTTAAATCACCAAATTTTGTCCACCGCTTACTCCAAATCCAACAATGCAAAAGCACAAATTTTTTTTTAACTGATCAAACAAGTTTATAAACAAGCTTTACAATGCCCTTAAGGCACAGCACATACCACGAGAGACCGTAAGAAAATATAAACATAATATTCTGTATTTTAATTTAAAGACGAAAACAGGAGATCGAATATAATAAAACCCATGTTTCGGATTTTCCAGTTAGTATTCAAAGTATTGTCCTTTTTTGAAACTCTTTCCATGTGGTTACGAAAGTTCATAGAAGCGTAGACCAACAAAGAACTTAATGAGTTTTAGAGGATCAAACACACGAATTCAATTCTACAACCAAACCCGTTTACCAAAAATAGAAAAGAAAAACATTTATAGCAAAGCAAAGAGCATCGTCTCAAGATCCAGACACAAAGAGTTTATTAGTCTCTGTAATTTTCTAGTTTCTGTTCTTGCATAAGATCGGAAATAACTAAGCTAGCACAAAGTTTCCAGAGATTCCTGATCAAATATATAAAAAATAAAACAAAAATTTATCATATCAGATTTGACTCTAGAATCGAACTTTACAAACTTTAAAAACGAGATCAATTCAATTCAAATCTAAACAAAAATACATTGTAGCGAGTGTTTGCGACTTCATCTGCTTCACGGATTGCGAAAATTCGGAGATTCATGTTCTCGAAACAACTCCGATCAAAGATTCCATCAAAAAAATGAATATGCATTGATCAATTTTTGTTTTGTTTTTCATCATGAAATTCAGTACTAAGATAAACCAGAAATTTCACAAAATGATGAAATCGGCGTTAAATTTTTTTCAATCCCTTGGCTAATCGATAACATAACCAGATTTACAAAACGCAGTACATCAAATCCCAACAAAAACCCTAACATTTCTGAGTCAATTTTGAAGAAGACGATGAAGATAGAGAGAGAAGAGAGAACAGCTTTACAAAAAAGGAAAAAAAATAAAAAATTGAGAGAAGAGGGAATGTTTCGGTGTTTTAGACTGTCTTGATTTTCGGTGGACGGACAAATGACCTGGTTCCACGTGGATTTTCGCATCACAATTTAAGGGATCGGACAAGCTGTGAAGGGTTGACGATACCGGGCAAGTGGGTCCCATCTACCCGGAGGATGTTAGCAACCTCCACATATCTCCTCCGTTTGTGGTCACTAGGCTCGATATCATGGCTCGACTTAGCCTTTCTCGACTCAGTAAATTGGGCCGCAAATGGGCCGGCTTGGGCTCGAGCCGGGTTCCATTGCTCTCCGAAGAGTGTGCCTTTGTTGAGAAACTCGTGAGCCAAATAACCGGCGAGGAGCTGGTTCGAACCAGCCGGCTCGGCTACGACGGCGCCGGCGGTTGTTGGTGGAGCGACGGTTGGAGCTTTCTTGAGGATAGATTTAATCGGCGGCGGCGGTGGATTTTTCACGGCGGTTTCCGTCGGTTTACCGGCGACGGCGCCGGAGATAACTCGTTTATCTGATGTCAGCACACGGCGTGGGGGGAGACGCATCGTTTTGGTATTCATGGCGGTTTTTTATTGGATGCATGCCACGTCAGCAATAAGGAAATTTTGAAAATAATTACTGCTGTGAAACAGTAATTTTCAAGTAATCGGATTAAAAATAATAATTTTAACCAGAGATGAATTTTTATATTGATCTCCTTTTTTAATTTAAGAAATAATAAAATTAGAGAGAGAGAGGGGGAGAAATTGGACGATGAGAGAGAGAAAGAGAATAAGAATGGAGGGACAAGGGGTCTGAGTAGGGTTAAGACAATATATAGAGATACGAAGCATAAATTGCCCTCTAATGTTCTAGTAATTACAATAGCACCATTTTATATGTAAATGACATAAAAACCCTTCCTTCCTTACCATATCTTCTAATTTGGGTTACCATTGGAACAAGTAACGCAAACATTAAAGAGCTTTTCGGGTAGAAAATAAGGAATCCCCTTTTTAGGATTTTTTTTTTCGATCTCTTCTTTAATCTCATTAGTCAGGAATGGATTCTGATTATTGATTTTAATTTCATTAGTAAATGATATATTCTAATATAAGTTATTTACTTATATTCTCCAAGTCCTCATGCAACAGTTATAGTAATGCTTCCTATTCTATTTTATGTCAATTCTTTAATCTAAGATCAACTAATGATAAATACTAAATAAAATTGCAATTTTAACATAAAATCATTTCCTTTTTATAAATTATACACTGTATTTTTAAGAAATAAAATTATTAATTTAAATATTGTCTATGTTTTAAACCACATTAATTAAAGTGTATTTGATTAATTTTGTGTGTAAATTAGATTCTTTTAGTGAAAAACATATCAAAAAATTAATAAAAAAGAAAAAACTTACAAATGAAATAAAACACTAACAAACAATAATGAAGAAAAGATCTAAGACGTTAGAAATTATGCCATAAACTTATAAACAAACTTTTTTTTTGAAAAAAAAAGGAAATGACTAAATGAAATTGTTTTTTTATCAAATGTGGTGCAAAGAAAGGGTTTGAACTTAGGTCATGAGGGTCAAAATTACTTATTTCAATCCAAATTACGTATCAAATGGCTAAAACATAAGTATATAAACAAAATTTGATATAAAAATTTATATGGGTCAATCAACCTCTTTTACTGTTAATTAGTTCCGCCACTCACATAAGTAGATTGTAAAACATTATCTTTTCTTTTTTAAATCTTTTTGTCATAATGTGTATATATGATTATTCTTTTTCAGCTATCATATATATGAAAATTTTACAGAACATAGGTTAGATTCAATATTTTTTATTGGGCAATGATTATAATAAATGTTTAATAGGCTTAGTATATTACAATAGAGAATTTTAAATTGCCGATAATACAATTATCAATCCATGATACATTGATATAAACGATAGATTTGATTTCGGATCAAACTTGTTCATATTGTTAAGAATTCTATGGAATTTTTTTTACTCCAATGCTTAAAAAACAATTTACTCATAACTTTGCTTTCTTTAATGAAAGATTATTATATTAACTTGAAATAATATAGTCTGAATACAAAGTATTAGCTAACCAATAAGATGGATAACACATAATCTGAAAAGTAGAATTTCATTTTATTTATTTGTAATATTATGCACAAACTTAAGTTTCCTAACAAATTTGTTTTTTAACATTAACTAAAGTAATTCCATCTAGATTCTAAATATAATGTATTACATAAATTATCAAAATTTAAAGTTTGACTATACGGAAAAATCAAGTAATGTCTCTTTAAAGGCTAAAAGTATTCTTTATTTTTTTTTCTACCCCATAAAAAAAAAGAGTATTCTTTATTTAAAAAAACATGATACGAATATTATCAATGGTTTAATATGTATATGGTTTGTATTTGTTCACATGATCCTTCAATACAACTATTCTTTTTTGGTAAGAATGAAGCTCTCCCTTTTTCAGATATTGTGTAGACAACCACTAGAACAATATAGAGAACCAGTGGGTAAAGTCAAAAGTTAATTTTTATGAAGACTATGAAATTTTAATCCCCTCACTATCCATAAAATTCTTTAATGTAAATCTCATCTCATTTCTTTTAACAATTTCATGATTCTTGCATGTATACTGCGTGTACATTAATACATTTGATTGGTGCCTTTTTCTACTTATGGACAATGTCTACACATTTACACACACGTACACGCTAAAATTTGGTAAAGAGTGATAAAATACTTTTTCTTCCTATTTTCAAACCAAAAACTAAAATGTTTAAATCTAAACCAAATCGAAATCCAAATTGAACACCAGTGAATGAAAAGTTGTTTTATCTGTTATCACAAATCCCACTAGATCATTATAAGCTTTATAGAACTTTAGATCAAAACTTATCGAGGATGATGAAGTCTTATCGAGGATGATGAAGTGTTCTTCAACAAAAATCACCAGATAACTATTAAAAGCTGCATATCAAGATTAATCATAGACTTCATCTTAGGGGCCCAATTTCCGGATAGACTAATGGGCAGTAGTGTTTTGTATGGATCACTTTAATCATAGAGTAATTAACCGATTTATATAACAAACAAATATTGCAGAACAATGATAGCAAATTCTAACAACAGGTTTAAATTTAGACAGAGAATTAATTGATTTCGGGTAGTTAGGCGTCAATTTTGTCAACTCGATTAAATTTGATTTCACCAAACTGAATGATATAATAATTTCAATGTATTTCTTTTTTACAAATAATAATGTCAACAGCAAAATAAAATGACAATAATAAACAGGAAAAATGCATGCCTTTAACTTACTCTTAAGTATACCAAGGGACCCACTTTGAGGGACCATAGCAATTTGCATCGCAAATCCCTCATATGGCTCACATCAAACACATGTTCAACCAAACCATCAAACACTTAACACTAGGCTCTAGTGATAATGGATCCATGAAATATTTTTATTCGGACCATAATTCAAATAAATGTTGTTTAATTATTTGAATGATATTACTCTACCGCCTCTTAATATATAATAATTCATAACTAGAATCTTATCCAGTACACTTAAGCACATTGTTTTGAATTTTTTTTTCCTGAAGAAAAACTAGTCTATAAAAGATGTTTAGATATATAAAACAGAAAAAGTATATTTCCAAAGAGATGTTTAGAAGATATGTTTAATTGTAATTATATAAAAAATTGAACAGAAGAGTGAGAAAATTGGATTTTTTTTTTTTTTGAATTTGGAAGAGGAAACAGATATAAGAAGAGGAAGACACCTGAGAAATATTGACAAGGAAAAACATAAAATTTTGGTAAAATAGCATTTAGGAAAGAAAATAAATTATGGAAAAATATGTATGAAGAAATGAAGAATACAACACTAACAGTTTTTATCGACCAACAAGTTTCAGATTTAATCTATTCGGCCCAAAAAAATGATTATTAGCCATTTCTCTATCATCGACAATCGAACTCGAGACTTTTAATGCTCTACCAAATAATTTTTAAGATGGATAGGTGCTAATCAAAACTCATAAAATTTAGCTTCTAAAACTATATCATTTATACATTCGTGAAATTCAGATTAAAAATTACTTAACAAAGATTTCGAATTAGTAATCGTCTTTTAGATTAGTTTATTAATCGAGTGTCTAGAAATCATTAATCGGCCACATACAATTGATTAAATCTAAATAACAACCAACTGATTAATGTTATCTTCTTAGTTGACCAAAATCATAACACCTTGTGATTTCTCGCTTTCAAGTGCTTACAGAAACATAGACGTCAAGGAAAAAAAACAGAGAAACATAATTGAATAGTAAACAATTGTAACAAAGCCATATAAGTGACATCTAGAACAAATTCAAACGTAATACTATTCTCCTCGAGGGCAACAAAAAAAGGAATGAAATATAAAAAAATAGGTTAATGTGACGCGTCTGTCTTGATGGCTTAATTAACGGCCCCTAAGATTGGACGCGCATAATAGTTGGCTTAGTCCATTTTGCGTAGACTTTAACTTATTTATGTATTTTTTTGTTGGAACTTAATTATGTATTTTAATTATTAAAAATCTTATCTTCTTCATTTTTTTTAATTTTGACACATTATCCTATCGTATTTAGCAAAGAGAAATTTTAACCGAGAACATAACCGAATACACCCGATGCTACATTTGGTTTTTCTTGTGTCTATTAGCGCCAATATGATAAGGTTAATTCAACAGTTGATTCAAAATAAAATTATAATGCTCGTAAGAGGGAAAAAATAAGGACATAGAAATGGTACCTTGCACGGGTCCAAAAGAAGTTTTAGATTCCTAGTGTATATATAACAGACTCCGAAAAAAGAGAAAAGAACAGAACTTATTTACACAATCATATAGAAAAAGAGAACTACACCCTTGTAAACATTTCGAAAGTAATTTCTTGTATTCATTAAATATATAGTACTACAATTATCAATTCCTACATTTTAACACATTTGTTCATTTGGCTCGTGGACAAAAAGACCTAGACTCAAAATTAGTTTAAAGATCTAAACTTTAATACATCAAAAACAAATGAATTAGTTAAAAATATAAACCCTAATTAAACTAGTTAGGATTTGTTGTTTTCCTTTTCCTTATTGTTTTCGGAAAAGGAATATCACATTTCCAAATAGAGAGAGCCTTATGATTTCATCTAGTCCTCAGTTCCATTCAACAGCTTCTTTGAAAACAAAAACAATACCTAAAAGGCTAAAAATATTCTCCCCATGAAAACAAAGTGTCTCATTAGAACAAGATTGTGTTGATCAGCTACGAAGGCGAACGTTAGTGGTTGCGTGCGTCGTAAAAAAAATCCATCTTACAAACGTCACCCAAGAATATCATCCTATGCAAAGTCGTCCGGCACGTCGAAGCTGATTCGGTTGAAGAAGACGAGGAGGCGAAGAAGAGGCTTGAGAATTGGGATGCACTCTTTATGAGACTCTGGGATATGGAAACCATCTTCACACTCGTTTATATGTATTTGACTTTTTGATGCTTTTGTAATGTTTGGTGTGATGTGTGATCCATACTGATTACTGATGTTCAACATTCAGCTCCACTTGTACATCACTTTGGTTGTGTGTCTGTATGTTGTTTTTGATATTAAGAGTTCCTTTTTAGCTTTTTAGATGTTCACTTAGAAAAGAGAAAAAAGGAGTGATATCATCATATCTAATAAGTGCTATTAAAAAACAATTGATATAATTTGCAGACATAATGTTGTACAACTTAAAAAGCTTACAATAGTACTACTAAAGCTGTTCAGGTGGAAAATATACCTGAGGCACATTGTTCTATTCCCTCTAGATCCAAGCCAATTCTTTAACCAAGAAACTGAATGACACAAATTACTTATGTTAGAGCTAAAATGTCTATGATTTTTTTTTTTTTTGGTCGAATAAAATGTATATGATTCATTAAATGAACTATACACGGATAAATACTAACAAAACCAAAATTCAAAGCCGGACTAATTTTGTTTTGCTAAAAAGTCACATTTCGGTTGCTTTTTTTTGGTCACTAAGCATCTAATACGCTAACAGAAAAAACTTTATAAGTTATTGTTGATTTTGAGCCAACCTATATATATATATATATATCATTATCTAAATTAGTAGCGGATCAAGAAAAAAATTCAGTGAGGGGCATAACTTTATAAATAAATAAAAAACAAATTTTAGTTTGGGGTACTTTTTATATTTTAACACTAAATTAAAAATATTTTAATTCAATTTATCTAAATTATTTAAGAAAAATTAAAAAATAATAGGGGGCACATAACCCCATCCGACGTAAGTTACCTCCGCCCTGATCTCAATATGTGTTACATGTATTTTGCTTGTCTTGATTCATAAACTGTGTTTGAGCAAAAAAAAAACTATAAGTTGTTTGCGATGTTTACATCAAAAGTCCGAGATTAAAATGGACCAAACCCCAATTTTTTAGTCATTTACAAATTTTTGCGATTAGACTTGGCTTGAGTTCAATTCAAATCACATTTTTAAAAAAATTTTGCCGCCAATGTCACTATTTTATATCATCCATACACGTGGTCCCTTCAGTGAACTCACTCATTTGATCGTACACGCAAAAAAAATATAATCTCAAGTCCAGAAGAAGCTCAATGAAGTTAGTGGATAGTGGACCGATAATAGTTGGGTTTTAAACGGCCCATCATTTCTCCAATTTTTATAGCATTATTATAACTTTTACAATAAAGCGAGGGCCCACATAGCAACGGTCCAATTTTTTACAAGCCTAATGTGTAGGTCCCAGAGTCAAAGACTCAGACATTATAACGGTCATCTTGTTGATCCCCCTACCCCAAAAATCAATATATTAAAATTAGTAAAACTAAAATTAAAAAGAAAAGGAAATTTGCCGTTTAAGAAAAAAGGAAAACTCTAAATGAATAAATCAACAAAAATGACCCTTTACTGTTATTAGATCAATTATCTGTGGAACTCTGAAGTAAATCTCTCTATCTTCCACTCTCTCTCTCTCTCTAGTGTTTGAGATTTGGAAGTAATGGGTTGCTTGCTCGGTTGCTTCGGCCGTCGGAAAAATCGCCGCCGTCAAAGACGCAGGGAATCTTTCCAGCCTCGTCCAAACGTAAGTTTTTCTCTCTCTGTTTCCCGAGAAAAAAGGTTCTCACTTTATCAACTTGCTGATTTTATCTCTGTTTATCCAGCTAAATTCAGTCTTAAATTTTGTGTATCTCCTGTTGGGGTTTGCTTTGATCTGAAAGTAATTTTGTTTCCTTTTTAATGCAGAGAATCTCTGAGGTGTCTACGAAAGATGTTCCCGTGAAGCTTAGGGTTCCTACTGTTGAGGAAGTCACAAAGTCTCCTCCACATGATGAATTTAGAGTTGCTTGTGTTGAGGAAGTCCCTAAAATCTCTGTGATTCCGACCACTGATACTATCTCGTGAGTTTTGTTTATGTCCTTTTGGAATCATGTTTTGTTTTTTTTTAATAGCTTAAACAGATTTGACTGATTGATTTTTGTATTTTAAACGCAGTGACAAGACTGACAAGCCTAAGGAGATACACAGTCCGAGTCCGAGTCTAACTCGTAAGAGAGTGACTTTTGACTCCAATGTCAAAACATACGAACACATTGTTGTAGAAGAATCTATTGAGCTCTTTGAAGAGAAGAAAGAAGAAAAGGTAAAGCCTTTGAAGTCATGTTCATCTGAGGGAAGCGATGTTACCTCCAACTCGTCAGGGTCTTTTCCTTCAAACCATAGATACCAAAACTGCAGAGAAAGTGACGATGAAGAAGAAGAGGATGTAACAGATTGCGACGAGAGCGATCTAGAGGATCTTGATGATGATGATGGTGAGCTGCTTGATGAGGACTATTATGATAATGATGATGAAAACTACGAGGATAAGCTGCATAATTGGGATAAAGAAGTCTATACAGAGGAGATTGCAGATAACACATTGGACATTGCTGCGACTGCTAGAGACAGAAGCGGTTATGTCAACGCGGTACTTAACCCGATAGAGAATCTAACTCAATGGAAAGCTGTGAAATCCAAAGGAAGAAGAACACAAACATATACACAGTCTCGAAAAGAGAAGGCTACTAATCTCATATCCGATCAAGAACACATGCCAACTGCTTCTTTTAGCTTGGACGAGCCTAAGCCAAAACTAAGAGATGAAACCAAGAAACAGAGAAGCCAAGAAGTTGCTGTTGATGCTAGTCTCTCAACTTGGTTATCCTCATCACCGACCACCACCAGCGGATGCAGCAGCAGTGTTGAAACCGCAATGTCCGAGAAGAAGAAGAAGTACACATCTAATAGCTCAAAACCGGTTCAAAGCTACGATGAGAGACCTATACTTGGCGCGTTAACTTCAGAGGAGATAAAACAGTTCTCAGCTACGAATTCTCCGAGGAAATCTCCGAGTAGAAGACCTGAGTCACCGATCATCGGAACAGTTGGTGGTTATTGGAACAATCACTCAATGGCCACAAGGAAAGTATAGAGCAAAAGTATGAAGTCTACACATGTTTGATTACATTTGATACTGTGAGTAAAATCATCATTTGTTTATTAATTTGGCTTTGTGAAGTTACCACTTTGTGTGTGTTGTGTTGTGTGTGTGTGTTTCTTAAACACCAAATCTTTGTGTGTGTGTGTGTATGTGGTTTGATCTTTAATATTCATTCTATTTGTTTGAACTTTACACAATTTGTCTTCAGTTCCAAATGTGATACGTTACAAATCCGTTTAATCACAACTTTTGCTAAGAAATCGAACAAAGAAGAGACCCAAATCGGGAAAAATAGACCAAGCAAGATTGGCTCAAAAGAGCGACCAAAACGCAAAAACGCTCTTTTGAGCCATTAATTTGGTTTTGTGAAGTTACCACCTTGTGTGTTTGTGTGTGTATTTCTTAAAAACCAACTCTTTTGTGTGGCTTGATTTTTAATATTCATGGTTTGAACTTTACACAAATTTATCTTCAAATCCAAATGTGATTCGTTACAAATCCATATAATCAATCCCTTTTTATCACAACTTTTGCTAAAAAAATCGAATAATTTGGCTTTGTGAAGTTACCACTTTGTGTGTGTTGTGTTGTGTGTGTGTGTTTCTTAAACACCAAATCTTTGTGTGTGTGTGTATGTGGTTTGATCTTTAATATTCATTCTATTTGTTTGAACTTTACACAATTTGTCTTCAGTTCCAAATGTGATACGTTACAAATCCGTTTAATCACAACTTTTGCTAAGAAATCGAACAAAGAAGAGACCCAAATCGGGAAAAATAGACCAAGCAAGATTGGCTCAAAAGAGCGACCAAAACGCAAAAACGCTCTTTTGAGCCATTAATTTGGTTTTGTGAAGTTACCACCTTGTGTGTTTGTGTGTGTATTTCTTAAAAACCAACTCTTTTGTGTGGCTTGATTTTTAATATTCATGGTTTGAACTTTACACAAATTTATCTTCAAATCCAAATGTGATTCGTTACAAATCCATATAATCAATCCCTTTTTATCACAACTTTTGCTAAAAAAATCGAACAAAGAAGAGACCAAAATCAGGAAAAACTAAGCCAAGCAAGATAAGCTCAAAACAGCGACTAAAACGCAAAAACGCGATACAAAACGCAGTTTAACAGTCGACGCCACATTGCTTGAGCAACGGACCGGTCTGTTTCGGCAAAAACGGATCGATTCGAACCCAAACCAACGAGAAAATCGACGCGAGGAGAATCGACCAGAGAACAACGATGGTCGGAGTTCGATTTTCCCGACCCATCAAACCTTTGAGAAACGGGTAAAGATGAACAATGACCCAAAACGCGAAGAACAGTTTCCCGAAAAGCGGTCCCCAAGAGCCGTACCCATTGTTAATGGCGTCGGAGACTCCGGCGACGACGCCTACCATGTTGAGGATGATGAGAGTGGTGGGAGGGATGAGGAGAGTCGTCCATTTGAAGAGGTAAAGATCTCCGAACTCGTCGGCTTCGTCGGTGGCTCCTTTGGATGTGACGGTGAAGTTGGTGTCGACGCCGAAGAGGACTTTGAGGAGACCTTGAAAGACGGCGAAGAGGTGAGCGGAGACGCCGCCGATTACCCAGAATTGCTCGTTACGCCAGAGGTCGTTGATGCTCACGCCGCTCCACCGGAGCTCGAGGATCGCCGTCGCGATGATTGATAGGAACAGGGCCAGGAACCATATGCTCGCGAAATTGTTGATCTGATCAAAGAGAGAGAGAGAAATGGGGACAAATTAAGAAATTTTAGGGTAAAATGTGTGAATCTTGAAGACTTAAGTGGTAAAAGAGTAAACTTTTAGGTATTTCACGGTGGTGGTGGTAAATTTCGATTGAAAAACAGAGGATGATTGAAATGGGTTCTCAAGTTTAGAACCAAAAACATGAACTTTTACAAAATTTATGAGTAAATATGTGAACTTTTACAAAATTTATGAGTAAAAATGTGAACTTTTAGGACTTTTATGATAAAGGTTAAAGTTTGAGCAGTGGAAATCGATAGTTTTGTCTATAAAATTTGAAAAATAAAAATTGAAATGCATTCTTCTTACATTTAGGCGCAAAACCAAAAATAAAGAACAATGGGTGTCAGAAAGTTGACAAATTTATCTGATTTTGTGATAAATCAAGAACCTTTAAGGTAAAATAAATAAATCTAAGATACGTACTTAAAGAATTAAAAGAGTAAACTTCAAATTTTGAAATTTGTAAATAGGTTCTTAACTCTTTAGTTTAGAAGCAAAAGCATGAACTTTTACAAATTTTATGATTAAAAATGTGACCTTCAAGACTTTTCTGATAAAGGATAAAGTTTGGGCAATGAAAATTAATAATTTTGTCTATAAAAGAGAAATGACATGGATTCTTCCTACATTTAGGCTCAAAACCAACAATTTCTACAAGTTTAAAGGTATCAATGTAAAGCACGTTTAGGAGTTTAACCATACAAAGAAGAGTGAGACTAACCGTGGGAATGATGAACTTGCCGGTGAGAAGACAAACGGCCGGGATAGTGCAATAGGCGAGTAGAGGAATAGAAGTGAAAGGATAAACAATGGTGTTGATGTAAGCAAGACGTTCTAGAATCTTGAGCTTCCCTCCCCATGCATACCACAACGGACAGTGTCGGCTAAAGAAGATTTCGACCGAACCGAGCGCCCATCTAAGCACTTGGTGCAACCGGTCCGAGAGATTGATCGGAGCCGAACCTTTGAAGGCTGGTCTTTTAGGCATACAATAAACCGATTTCCAACCTCTACAATGCATTTTGAACCCCGTGAGAATATCTTCTGTCACTGATCCATAGATCCATCCAATCTGCAAACACAAAAATATTTTCAAGAATCAAAATCAAAACTAATAAAATAGCGAATAAACACTTGAACTGACAAAAAAATTATGTTCAAAATGCTAAAAACAACTATGCGTTATATATAGCGGAATTATATTTTCAAAAACAAACAAAAATGTTTGTAAATGCTAAAACTGAGAGGAATCATGTTTTCAAAACATTAATACAGTACATGATATTTTCATTCACCTTCTAAAACCTATATTGAAAATATAAGAAATGACAAATTATATGAATAAAAATTTGAGATTTCGCGGTAAAATTACCAATAAAAACCCTAAATTATTGTTTCCAATGGATTAGACCAAACTATTCCAAAATTTAAAATTTTTTTTATTTTACCAATTAGAAATTTATATATTATGAATTTATGATTATTACCTCTTTGCCCCATTCAGTTTTCTCTTCATACCCTGTGCTAATAACATGAATGGCTTCTTTGATCAGCGAGCTCGTGTTCGTCGCCTCCGGTAACCCTCCGTTCTCCATCAACGTCGACGCAATAAACACAGGAGACATCCCAAACCTCTTCTCAAAGTTTTTCTGCGACATCAGAGACGATTTCTCGAGCTCATCGTACCCTTCAAGCCCTTCCTCGATGTCTTCAAGATCGAAAATCGCCTCCGTCGATCGTTTTCTTGAATAGCTCTTCGTAGCTGCATTGCTCTTCTTCTTCTTCTTCCTCAGTCCAGATAACAAGCTCTTGATCCCTGATTTCTTCTTCGAGTCATCCGATTTCGACTTGTGACGGCTACCTCCGCCGCAGCAGCAAGAAAGCCACGACGGCCAGCAATCGCAGGTCATCTTCTTTCGTTTCTCCGATACCGGAGGTTCGTATCCGTACAATGCCGGTCTATTGAATACACATCCTGTTCCAACGTAGACTGGTCCTTGAATCCCATCTAAGCCTCTCATGTTGATCTGCAAGAACAGAACAGAGTTAGGGTTTTTTTCGAATTTGGTTCTTGACTGTTTTTGTGATGATCTTACGTCGAAGAAGACGATGTTTCTGTTGGCGTATCGATCATTACGATCGATTCCATCGAATCTCTGAGGGAACTGAACATAACAAAGCTTTTTCCCAAGCTGTGGATCCATGAGAAAGCACATTGCTTCTCTAATGGCTCTACTGTTGTTGATGTAATGGTCACAATCAAGATTCAGCATAAATGGAGCATTAGTGAGCACTGCAGAGACTCGAACCTGGCACAGTCCAAAATAAAACCATTGTGTGTATTAGAAAAACAGTTAAATATTTATTTTGGTGTTTTGCTTATTTGTTTTGCCTTACCATTGCATTCATGGCTCCAGCTTTCTTGTGGTGCGCGTAACCAGGACGCTTCTCTCTCGACACATAAACAAGACGTGGCAATTCGTTACCGTCGATGTCGAATGCTCCTTCTTTTCCTAGATACACCTGAAAAAAAAATTTTGAATCTCAAAATTGTTATTTTTGTTTGGATCCAAAGGTGTAATCTTTTTAGGGTTTTGAGGTTTCGAATGTGACCTGAATCATTCCAGGATGATCACGAGTGTTGTTCCCAGGCCATGGTGTACCGTCTTGCATCACCCAACCTTCTTCAGGCTTCTTCTGAGCTTTAGCTACTAAAGAATTGATCCTCACTTTGAATTCTTCATATTCTCTCTGCAAAGCAATTGAGAAGAGAAAGTAAAGATTCCGTTGCGTGGTTCGCAAGTAAAAGATTTTTTGTTTTGTTTACACTGACCTTCATTGCTCTACGATCTTTGACGAATGTAGTTTGGACTTTATCTTTCAAGTAATCAATCTTCTCAGAGAAGTAAAACTCTGGAGCTCTTGGCTCAACATTGTACTTCTTGCAAAACGGAACCCACCTTCTTGCAAACTCTGAAGTTTCAGACAATGTATCGAACAAGAGCATCGATGCACCGTCATCAGATACATAGCAGCTAACTTTGTTCACCGGATAATCAACGGCTAAGATCGAAAGAATGGTGTTGGCCGTGATGATCGGAGGCTCCTTAAGCGGATCCACCGTACTGACAAACACATCGACCGGTGCAAGCTTGTTCTTTTCGCCGTCGCGTTCGAATCTCATAGCGAGACGGTCAAGGTAGGTTTCTCGGTTAATCGGGAACCATTTCGGGAACTGATCAAGAATCCAAGAAAGTGCGAACCATATCTCGCAGATGACTGAGATAAGCCAGAGAGGGTATGCGTCATTGGCTGGTGTCAAGATTCGGAAACGGAAGAAGAAAGCTAAGATCACGAGACGAAGAACGATCACGATTCGGTATGGACTGATTTTGCTCGATGAGATTGGTACTTTTCTCCATAGAGGTTGTCTTGCTTCAGCATCTCTGCAAAACAAGAACAAGAACTACTCAGTTACTTGCGTGTCAAGTCTTTATTACTTGAGATTAAAGGAATTTCATTTTACAGGTATTCTTCTTCTTCTTCATCATCATCTTCATTGTTTGGCTGTTCTCCTTTCATCACTAAGCCTCTCTTCTCTTGCCTCGCTTTCCATTTATCGACTCGTTCTTTCCACTCTGCGTCTGTAGCTCCATCTCTCTCAGCTTCGAACTCTTTCCCCAACACTTAGAATCAAATCACACAGAGACAGGTATCAAAAATTTGTTCTTCTACATCTATATGTATAGATAAATCAATTATGTATATATAAACATATATAAACATACCACTTCCGGTGGAAGAAAAGGCCCGGCCATTTGGACGCCATTGCTGCTTACTATTGTAGTCTCCATTTTCCTGCAATACACATACAAAAACTCAGAATCTTGATTTCAAATGGGAAATAGATCAGACTAAAAAGAAGAGTAACAAAACATTAATCAACGTCATAAATTACCGATCCATAGGCAAAATTTTGGTGAATGGAGCGATTCTTGATGTTCAAGTCATCATCTGAATCATCAGGACCATTGTTTTCTTCTTCATCTCCTTCAATTCTTGGAGAGCCTTCAAATAAAATCACAAAACATTGAGGGTCAAAGTAAGGTATGGATTTCGTTAGAACAAAACATAGTTTAGTTTAATTTTAATTTACCTTTGTGGCGTTTGTAGGGAGTGTTGCATTGAGGGCAACATTTGTTACCGTTGCTACGCTCGTACTCATAGCACGGTCTACAAACCGGGAATGCGCAGACGTGGCATGCCACGAATGTATGGCCATTGTCTCCATCTCTGATCTCGTCGCTACATATTCTGCAGATCTTAGCCGAGAATGAAGAATGACGATGCTGCATTCACAAAAAAATGTATTTGTTAAATGAAAGAATTTGGTAAAGAAGTAAACCCTTGAAACAAGTTAGGATTTTTTGTTTATTCTTCCTCTCTTACCTCATCGTCGAAGCTAGCCATGGTGTTTGGTTCCATGGCGAGGCAAGCTGAGCTAGGAATGTATGTGACTATGTGTTTGATGATTGAAGAGATCAAAGGGAGTTTTTGGCGGTAATATAAGGGGGAAAAAATAATAGAAATTTGTTGTGGGAAGAAACTGAGGTTGTACCAAACTGTGAGGTGAGATTGGGTCTGAGGTTTGTGTCATAAGAAAGCTTCAAGAGACAGCAAAAAAAAGATTTGGTGGAAGAAGGAGACAGCTCAGTTTAGTCAGAGTTTTTTTTTTTAATATATTTACTTGCTTTGAGCTTCCAACTTCTTCTGTTGTTTGTTGTTCTTTTTTAGTTCTTTAGAATATGTGTATCTTAGAGTAGCTTTCAAGTTAATATGAAACTCAAGTCTTACTAAACACTTTGAGCTTATATCTAAGCTTCACCAAATCCAGCAAACTTCTTGAATCCAATCAGAGAGAGAGAAAAAACATATTTAACAAAAGCCCAAAATAAATTTCACAAAGGCCCAAAATGGTAATAGAAAAAAATAGAGCTCAATTCAACATAAACAAAGATGATCATGGTTCATGGATCATTCATAAGCATTTGAGTTGGTTATATAAACCAGAAAATGAAGAAGGAAAAGAAGACTCAAGAATCAGAATGAAACTCTGATCTTATTGTTTAGTTAGAGAAGTAAATATGATTTGATTAAGCGACATAGTAGATGGAGTTTGGGAGCTTGAAGGTTCTCTTGGGAACTGGACAACCTGCGAAGCTGTTCCATTGTGCACCCATCACTCCCCAAACTCTGTAACCAAGACTTGTAAGCCATGCCCTCACATCTGCTTTGTATTGGGTCACACTCTTCTTCTCTTCTTCTTCTCCCCTGAAAATTTTCCGTTTTGACATATTTATTATAATCCGGTTCACGAGTATGCTAGTCTAATGATTTTTACTAATGTTGTTACCTTATCATAACCAAAGTCAAGAATGTACATGTGTGAATTGTAGAAACATAAATTAAAATGCATCCATTATGTGTGTCATATGTATTATTAAGAAGAAGTTTTGATATTATGAGACTCGAACCGGTGCAAATAAGTACCTGAGGAGGAGGTTAGACCAGCCGTGGTAACCGGCTTCGATAAGGTTTTCGACGGTGGCGGATCTGAGATACTCTTTACGAGAAGAGACCAAAAAGATTTTGAAACCTCTCTCTCTGATCTCATGGAACAGCTTCACCATGTTTGGAAGCGCTGGTGCCTTTCCCCAACTTTGCCATTCCTCGAATTGGGTCGTGTTCAATTGCTCACCACTGATTCAATTCAATGTAACATTTCAATTCCGGTTATTATAGACCGGGATAAAGCGAACCAAAAGAAAAAGAATATGACAATCTTTCTGTTTCAATATTGACAGATAAAGTTTTTGCACACATCAGAAGCTAAAAAAATAATTTTGCACACAAATAAGTATATTGATTTAATTTTTGTTTTTTTGTTATCATTTATTATCTACCTAACCATAATTTAACCAATAATAAAACAAGTTTGCATAGTATAAATGGTCAAAACCAAATAAAAGACTAATTAAAATTACATTGAAAATTAAAAAATTTATCGAATTTGAATTTTTTTTCTTTTCTAAAACATCATTTGCGGTTACGAAACAGAGAGAGTAGAAGTGTACATTATATTACTAAATCAAACTTAACTTAAAGTCAAACGATGTTTTTCATATCCCGATCGGTTTCAGTTTTATACTAAACAAACCAAATTAATAACTTTAATACCGAACAAACCAAATTAATTACTTTGTTAACATTACCAAATGAAAAAACCAAAATGTTTTTAAAATCATTTTTCAAATATATATACAAAATGAATCATATAAAATGTAATAACTTATCTGTTTGTCAAAAAAAAAAACGAACTAAATTTTTCAGACAGAAATTAATCTATATGGTTAAATCAATTTTGTTACCCGAAACTGCCGTGTTTCTTGTGGTAAGGAATGGTGGAGAGAAGAGTGTCATCAACGTCAAAGATCCAAGCATCCATGCCATCACATTTCTTCTTCTCGCAGCAAGTTTTTCCTATGTAGAGTGTTGCTTCATCGACGGCTCTGGCCAAATCATCCTCGTACTGAGATGACGTCATGTACTTTTGGATGAACCAGACACACTCCTGTGGCACCACCGTGAAGTCCCTAATGTTGTGGAGCTCCACGTTGACTCTCCAGCTCTCGCAGTATCCGTTTAGGTTAGGGCCTTTCAATGATGCGACGCTGTTTTGGCTAGTCTTGGTTGTGGTTGTGGTTGGGTTGAGTCCTTTGAGCTGGTTTAGGATGTTCCAGTCACGAGCTGAGACCATTTCGGTGAAGAGGAATGCGAGGGTTAGCGAGAGCAACAAGGATCTAGCCATCTTGATGAATGGATCGATATGGATCAAGGAAAATTTACTAGTCTTGGCGATCTGTCTGCCTTATGGTAATGTCTATATATAAATATTTAGAGTATGTAGAATTATTAGATGTTCAAAAAGAAAAGAAAAAAAAAAGAGTAGGTATGTAGAGAGTTATACAATATAAAGTCAACTTAACAAAAAAAAAAAGAATTTTTGTTTTTAAGTTTTGCGACTAGGTTGGATTGATAAGCTGTGAAAAGGCAGAATTATATTTTTAATCGCGATTTCATAAATATTTACTAATAAAAAATTATGTGGATGGAAAAGTAAAATGAAATGCAGACTTGTGAGAAACGATCTTAATCTTATTATTTTATTTTATTAGACAGGGTTGAGATGGTTTTAACTTTTGTTGCACTATGTGTTAGTTTTTGTATCGAATTAGGATCAATTTAACTATCAATAAAAACAAAAAAAAGTTGGAATAGAATATATCTATATATTTTTGTCCAAGTATTATTCAACATTTACGGATAAATCTTATCATGTTCATGTGACCATACATATAGAATATAAAATTCAACAATATTGGGGATGAATGTGAACGACAGCACAATTAACATAGATATATAAATAGAGTAGGAGGGAAAGTGGGCACCATGTCTTGATGTGAAAATAGGCAACTTGAAGAAATAAGGTGAGAAACATCCACTCCAGCTCATGCAAATTTAATATAATCAACCGTCTTGGTTGTCTTGAATAAATGTGTGCTTAGCTAATATATATTCAGGATATATATGATCAAAAGATTAAACAAAGATACATAATTAACTGATCCGAACACATAGCATAGCAAAATACGTGTTTTGTTTTCTTTGATAACTAGGATTGATCTTAGTTTTCACCATTCGACTAATCGAGTGAGTGTAGTCGTCAAATAGCCTACCACCAGATTTGTTAACGAATCTAAAACATAATATCATTTCTGATTTAAACAATCCTTGGTCTAGATCAATACTAGTATTATTGAATCATATTCTGGAATTAATATATACACATATAATTTGTAGATGACAAGAATAAGGATATTGTGGGAGAAAAAAAAGAAGAAGACAAAAATAAGCATACATATGTATACAAGTACCCAAAAGTGTTTTTCTTTGTTAACAAACCAAAAATTGTAGGTCATAACCAAAAGTAGGTTTTTTAAGGTATTTTTTCTTAAAAGTTAATGTCTCATTATACGTCGACAAAAAAATGTCTTATTATGCTGGAAGGAAAACGGGAACCATTTGGATTCAAATCGTGATTAATAATCATTCTTCGATAGGAGCTGTGTATGTTTTTGTTATATTAATGGAATTCAAAACAAGTTCACATGATGAACTATAGTTTTGCACTGGAAGATTTGTTACGGATGTCATCATTGCTGTCTAATTTGGAATTTTATGTAGTAAAGTTTACAGATCTAATGATTCTTTTTTTTTTTGTTGCTAAAAGATCAGATCTAATGATTCTTACAAGTTTAATACAAATGTTTTGACCAGTCTATAATAAATAATATGTTTGATGGGTCTCTCTGAGTCTCCCTATATGTTCTCTTTCCTTGTGTGATTAATTGACGAAACTAGTTATTAGAAATATATATATATATATATATATATATATATGAGTTTCCAACTCAAAACTAGTAGTTCATATACTGATTAAGAAATATTATAATTTCCAATGTAAAATATTGTTTTTAATAGACCTTTTATAGATGAAGGTGAGAACAACACAATCATTTTAAAAGTATCACAACAAGCTAAGACTAATTTGACTAATTGATTGAACAAAATAAAAGATAGATTGTGACAAAATTGATATTGCGAGAAACCATTCTTGTGGAAAATCGTCAATTAAAGCAATATGGGTTTCATACTTGTATATTAAGACTCATGGTTTCCACTTTCCAACTTAAAACTAATTAGTAGTTAATAAAATAACTCACAAATTACATATACACTACTTTAAAAAAAAATCACAACTGTCTATAGAATATTCTAACAAATGATATATGACTTTCTGGTTTATGTAGGGATGAATAGAAATACAAAATCTTATGTGCTTTATAGATTTCATTATTTATCAGTAAGTAATCTAGTTTTCAATGGGTTTTAGAATTATTGAACATTACAGCTCATCCCATATGTCATGTTAACTACTCCATAAACAGCAAATTAATCAAATTAACAAATTCAGTTGACAAAACGAATAAAAACAAATTTTAAAAATTTGGACATTTTTTATTGGAATATAAACAAACAAGACATTTTCAGTCACATGTGATGTTATCAGAAAATAAAATTTAGCAATAAGAAAATTATTGATGTGTTAATTTCCTTAAACGTAAATATACCACCGAAAAGTTGCACATACAAGGTCCGGTTCGGTTCGGTTCGGTTCGATTCATGGACATAGCTGAACGTTTTCTCTTAGAATGATTAAACATCTTGTAGTTTTCATTCCATAAAAACGACACAAAGTCCTTACTTAGAAAACCAAAACCTTCATTATTCAGATTACCGTATCGTCCCTTGTCTAGGTCACACGGACGCGCGGGAAATAAAAACTTCACTGATTCACGATCATGCCGCACGCGGATCGGTCTAATCGTTTTTGCTTTTGCGAATAAGGGTTTTTCTCGTTCGAATCAGATACAAAAAAGAAGAGATGGTTTGGAATTACCCAGAAATTTCCAAGGAAGATTTCATGAAGCTTTTGAAAGGGTTTGTGGATTTGCTCATCCTTGCATCTGGGTTTCAATCTTCTGGTGTCCCCGCTCATTGGGATGCTGAAAATTGCAGGAAAGCTCTTCAATGGGGTCTCTTCTTCGAAAATGTGGGTATACTCTTCTCACTCTCGCAATCAAATATCAGTCGTCTTGTGTACTCCATTGCTTTCGTTTTGTTAATCGGAGAATTTCATTTCTAGGTTATAAGAAGCTTAACTGGTTCTGATACATTTGGGGAATCTGTGAGAGAGCTTGACGAAGCTATATCCGAGATGAAATCTAACCCCTTGTTCCCAAAGGTTGTTGCTTTAGCTTTTGGCTTATTGACTATCTCTATTCATAATTGAAACCAAAGGTGGATTTTAATTCTCTGGAATTTTGGCGTTTGTTTTGGAGAAAAATTTTCAGGGTCTAGAGAATCTATCATTAAATACTCTCTCAAAGGGAAGAGAATTTGTCTTAGAGCATTTGGTTAATAACTCAACGTTAAAGGATAAACAACTCCAAGCTGTTCTGGTTGCAGCAGTGGAATCAGGTGAAGGTGTTTCAGACATAATTGATTGGAAACTCTGCGAGCGGCTATCTGTTGTGTCGTGTGTATCAGCACTTGAGACTGGCTTGAACATCCTTTCTAAAAACATTGAGCCGAAAGAGTCGCTTCAGAGAGAAGACAAGGATACAACTTTGTTGGGGTATGTATGCTTTCGAATCACGAACTATACCATACCTTGAAATATAATGTTATGGTAATTGTTGATGATCTTTGATGTGGTTTCTTTATCTTAGCCGGAGACAACAGCCTATTGAACTTCGGACATGGAATATCTGGCAATCGAAAGGTCTATCTTATTTTCTCAGTAAGAGAACCTTAAGATTGGTTTCGGGTGCCAGCTTAATATTTTCTGCACCAAAGGCTCAGTGGACAGAAGTGTTAAGAAGGCTGCGGATATCAACTGAGAAGGGTGGTGATATATTCATCGAAAAGATTGTAAGTTGATCTGATTCTTGAATTAGGTGTATCCATTTTAGCCTCTTCTGCTTCTGTAAGAAAAGGTAGTCACTCTAACTTGAACACTTGTGGTGATGCTGCCTAAGAGCAGGAGCTATTGTTACTAGGATGTGTAACAAGCAGATGGACTCATTTAATCGAAGGTATCACGTCAGTTTCTTACAAATCTATCACTTTGTCAGAACAATACGAGGAGTTATGTAAGCTGCTTCTTCAAAGATCTAAAAGCTTAAGACAGAACGAAATTGCTTTTAATACAAGGGTAACTTTTCTCAGCTGCAACTATTTAACAAAAATTTGGAAACGCATCACAACATTTGCTATGTGTAAACCGACTTTTGAACTGTCTTGTTTCAATAGGTTGAAGAGATTCTTGAATATCTAACAGAAATACTGGAGGCTCGGTCTCATCACCTCTGGAAATTGCCTTCTGCCCTTACTGCAGCTGCAATTCCATCATGGTAATTTTCAATTGTATAATTCATTATTTAATGAATTTTAATTAGGGTATTAGTCCTGTTTTCTGGGAATTTTAATTATTAGTCCTGTTTTCTGGCTTTGCACCAGAGGTTAATTACAAATAATTTCAATAAAAAGCATCTCGTGTGATTTATGATGTGTTCTCTTGTGGTTTAAAATTATACTGAAATCTTCATTGAATGGCTTTTGGTTTGGAAAAAGCAAATTAGAGAATATCAAAGAATGTCTCCTTAATAGAAGAAAATTAGCTAAACCCACTTAAACTCATGTAATGCTCTTTATGCATCATGTTTTTTATCTGTGGTATCACTCGCTCATATACAGAGGCGACAACAAAGATTTTGTATGATGTTCTTGTTTAAAGTAACATTTTTGTTAAATAACTTGAATCGTATGGTATCACAGGTCGCCGCTGTTTGGTCTGTATATTGGCGAGATAGAGAAACGTTTGAAAGTAGACCTCTCAACAACAAGGTTAAGTTTCTCTCTAAAAATCTTTTTTCACATTTGTTATTGAACTTAATCGTAAGTTAGAAACCGGATTTTTTTCTCAGTTGCTACTTGACACAAGTTGAGTTGTTCAAGGTTTCACCTGGTGACAAGTTCTGCCGTTACTAGAATCGTAGATTCTTCCTCCGGATGACTGCTTCTTCTTCCTAAGCATGTTATGTTCATCTTGGACCCAGGAAATCCATTGCATGCACACAACGAACCCTAGAGTTCGAGTCATCGGAGGAAGAATCTACGATCCTAGTCACGGCAAAACTTGTCACCTAGTGAAACCCTGAACAACTTAACTTGTGTCAAGTAGCAACTCAAGGTCTATATTTTGGCGAAATAGAGAAACTGTTGAAAGTAGACCTCTCAACAACAAGGTTAAGTTTCTCTTAAACATTTTTTCGTATATGTTCTTGAACCTAAACATAAGCTAGAAACCGCCATCTATTTATATATTTATCTCCTTCTCGTTTGCAGATGTTGTAGCTGCGATAAAGGTCTAAACGAGCACAAGGACTGTAAGTTACACAAGTTTTTCTACTACCTTTCATTTACCTCTCCAAATCATTTGTTCAACAACTAACCCTCCACGAGATATTTTGGCAATGACCTTGATAGTATTTGTTTTTATATGTCTAGGTGAGCTCGCAGAAAAAGTTTGGTGCTTGTACGTATTCCATATTTTCGGCAGATGATGCCACCAAACAATTTAATGGTCAGATCATACAAGAAGAAGATCATCAGTATCTTCGAGGTAAGATCACACTGATGCAGATGTTTTGTATGTAAATGTTATGAAAACGCTAGATTTCTGGCATTTGCGTTTGTAGATGGAAAAAAAATTGAGGGATTTGCCTTCAATTTTCAATCACAATCGGTTCAATAAATGGTTTGATGGATAAGTAACAGAAAGATCCAGTGATGAATTGTTTTCTGGCTCGAGATATTTCCTTTTCTTTTGCATTTTTTTGCTTATTTGGTGGTGGTTTGAAAATTGAATTCTCTTTGTTATCCATCGCTGTCTTAGCTCACGTTTCTTTACTTTTACGTCAGGTAAACAAGAAAGCACGTAGCGCGTGGGGTCTGGTTTTAACTTTTAGGCACATAATCTTTTGTCTTTTTGGTATATTCTTTTGTATCAAACTATCCCAAAAAAAAAAATCGTCATAGACGGTCTATACAAACGGTTTCAAGATTAAAGGGATGGAAAAAGAAAAAAAAAAAAAAACAGTCAAATCTCACTTTAATCGAACCTTTCCACTCAGCAATATCAGACACAACACAACTGAAAACGAGTTCGCGTCAGATTATATGCTTTTTGATAAAGGATTTTCAAAAGTGGGAATTTTTTTTTTTTTTCAACAAAAAGTGGAAATTATTCATTCGTTGAGATTTTGCTTCAACGTTGTCCGTTGGTATATACAAGATAAAGGTAATTTGATTCTCCACCCAAAAGTGGGACGGGTTATGACCCATAATTTAGGCATTGTGATGTGGAGCTGACACTAACCAAATAATCACACATATCTATAAACTAAATATTCAATATAAATTTAAAGGACAAAATATAATACTCTGGAAGTAACCCAAAATCTCCAAATTTGGGTTAGCTGCTTAGGACTATAGAGACAAAGTCGTAAGTAACCCACAATTTGAGAGGATTAAAAGGGTTTGTATTGGACATTGACGCCTGAGAAGACCTATTTTTGTTGATTCCTATAATAACCGTGTGAAAAAATACGGTTCTTAATAGTTTTCTCAATGATACGGGACAAAAATGGAGTTGTATGTTGATTACGGTATTCAACTATTCGAGGTCGGTCCGGTAATTTGAGTTCGAAAAAGATTAAGTTGATTAGATTTTATTAAGTTCTCAATTACAATTCGTTCGGTTCAGAGGTCGCTCAACGAACTCAATACAATATTCAGGTCTTTATTCTCCGAGTCCGAAAAAGATCCTTTCTACAGTAACAATTCTACTATTTATAGTACATAAGCGAGGAGACGTTCTAGGGCTTCTCGTTCAGCTCTCACCGCCTTTCGTCGCTGGGCTTCTTTCTTATGGGCCGCGCTGTCGGGCCAGGCCCATTTCGGCTAAGACCGTCGTAAACCAGGGTCAATTGAGCCGGTCTTGGTCTTTAACCGGTCCGAACCGGGGAGCGGAGCGTACCACCAACAGTATGTCCCTCCCCCCCAGTTCGGTAAATGGACTTGACTGACTTTTGCCGAATTAGAGTCGGATCGGTTATAGACCGAGGTCGGTGACGTTGAGTTCTCGGCTTACACCCTTCGTCATCCCTGGTGTCTTGGCAAGGGTACTTAAGTATTTTTGCTTGCGGGGAACTGAAAAGACGCGTCGGTTTAGGCGGGAAATCGAGACGTCACAAGGTGCGGAACTCGAGAAGTCGCAATGATTCGCTCTTCTTCTATAAATAGGGTTCAGCTCTCCCCATTTCTCATTTTCGCTCCTACTGCCAAGGTATTTCGCTCTCCCCTCTCTCTAAATTTTCTTCTTTCTCTCTCTAGAATTCCGATCGCCGTCCGCCGTGCTCTCTTGTCGACGATCACTTTCTCGAATTCTCCAATAATGTCTTCCGACTCTTCATCCAATTCCGAGGCCGCCATTCTTCCCGAGCACCGTAAGGAGGAAACTTCTACCGACATCTCGAGCTGGGGATCTACAGAACATTCTTCGAACGCTTCTCTGGTTCGCAAGAATTCTCGTGTCGTCGAGGTCGGCTCTGGTAGCCGAGTTCCGATTCGGGCTCCAGAGCAGATGGATCGAAATCTTCGCGAGCCCGAAGGCCAAGTTCCTACCGACTTGGCCCTGGGGCGGGAGCCTGATGTGTAGACAGATGAGGACGCTCCATTGCACGAGGTCGGGGAAGGAGGAGCGCATGATCCAAATGATGATGATATGATGCCGATCGTAGATCGGCCATGTATATGTGCCCCGGTGAAGTCTACCTTGTCATCTCCGGAAACGGTTCGGGCTGCTATGCTGGTCGGCGGAGCCCCTCATGGAATCATTATTCAAGTTTTCGAACCGGAAGAGCGCCCCTGGGATGCACCCGAGGACTTCATCTGTGTCTACGAGGCCTATTTCAAAGAGGCCGGACTGACTTTCCCCTTGCCCCGCTTGCTGTTCGCCTACTGCAATCGTCGCGGCTGCGCGATATCGCAACTTCAGCCGGCGTCAATAGTGAATTTTGTCAGGATTCTCCAGCTCGGGCGCGACATCCGGGCTCACATCAACGTGGCCCAATTCGAGGAGCTCTTTATTATGAAGGTCTCGGCGGCAAAAAGTTGGTTTCTGTCGGTGAATTGCAAACCGAAGTTTGACCTGGTGACTGGGAACAAGGCTAGCAAGTTTCCGAACTGGGACCAAAGCTACTTCTTTGTACGCGTGGATTCGTTATCTGCTGAGAATCCGGAGAGCACGTTCCGGACTGGCTGGAGTGTCGATTTCGGTACATATCTTACGGTTAACTCCTCTGTTTTTTGGTTGGTACTAACAAACGTTTTTATGCTTATGCAGATCGCCACGTTCCGGGGTTCATTCAACGCTCTCTTACGTCTGACCTAGCGAAGCAGCTAAGTATCGCCGGACAGCGCCGTTGGCCACTTGCCTACCAGGAGAAGATTGACCGTCGGATAAAGAGAGCTGACGAGGAAGATGATAATGCCTCGATCGATATCGTCGGTCTCGATGGGAACGAGGCCGGTGATGGCGTTGGAGCCGCTATTGGGGACGAGGTCGACAATGTCCCGGTCGGCCCAGTTGATCCTCTGATCCCGGTTGCGGAACCGGAGGGCGATGTGGCAGGAACTAGTGTTCATGAGGCGACTCCTCAGCCTCAAATGGAGGAGGGGGAAATTGGTGAGCAGGATGAGGACGAGCTCACCATTGCCGACCGCGCCCGTAGGAAGAAGGGCAAGTCTTTGAAGAAATCATCTCGGAGGAGGGGTGGTGATCCCGAGGCGGCTGCGAGTGAGGGGACTCTGGTCCTTCACGAATCCCCTGACGCTTCTCAGGTTCCTCCAGCGGATCCGGCTGCCGAGACCGAGAACCCGAGGTCGTCCAAGAGGCGTCGGACCTCTGATTCGTCCTCCTTCTCAGTCCGGCTCAAGTACAACAAAGACCGGTCCTTTTTTGACGACTCGTCTGCCTGCGCCGAGCTCTTTAGGCAGATCGTGCCGGCCTCGTCTCCGATGCCTGAGACGAAAGACCTTTTCCGCCCCAAGTCTTATGCTCGGGTCGCGAAATCTGCCTCCGATGTAAGTTTCTCTCTGTCTTGAATACTTAGGCTTTTTTAGTTTTGAAATGTTTTGACTTGGGTTCCATTTTCAGCTCGTCTGTGATACTAACGAGCTCGTTCGCGAGTACGACTCCGAGGTCGAGAGGCTGAGGAGGATCAACGCTGAGGTTGCTGCTGAGAGGGCGTCTCTGGAAACGTCGTACCAGGACGAAAATGAGAGGTATGAGGCTGCTGTGCTGGCCTTTACCGAAAAGGAGAAGGAGAACGCAACTTTGAAGGAGCAAGTCGAGGCTCTGGGGAAGCGGACTGCCGAACTGGAGGGGGATGTGGACGCTCTGTCCAAGTCGTTCAAGACAAGCGAGCTCGAGAGGCGGAGGTATCGGGACGCCGAGTCGAAGAGCAGGAGGATGCTGGCCGCCCTTAGGGGCAAGTGCGAGGGGAAGCTCTCCAAGATGAAGGACTTCATGGAAAAGTCCGAACTCCGGAAGGCGCCATTCCTCAAACTCAACCAGGCGACCGCTCTAGTCGGCTTCTGCGACTTCCTCAGGAGGGAGTACAACATGATCGTCCCGTCTCACATCGTGGAGATGTACGGGCGTAGGGTTAAGAACTGCACGAGGGAGGTCGATGCCATTCCCCTCCCGCGGTTCGAGAAAACGAAGACTTGCTTCTTCCGAGCGACGACGACCTCATCCCGAGGATTGTGCTTCCGCCGGGGACGCAGGTTCCAGAGGGCTTGGATCAGTTCGGCTCGAACTCCAAGTCGATCTCGGCTGATCGGGCAGCAAGTCTCAAGAGTCCGGCGTCCGTTGCTCGTCAATGATTCATCCTTTCCTTAGTTTTCTTCCTTGTTTTTATTTTGATGTTGTAAAGACTATTCTGCCCGAGTAGCTCGGGTTTTTACTTAGTATTTTATTTTGACCGTCGTTTTTACGCGTTGTGTTGTTGCCGTCTAATTCGGCAATTTTGGGCATTTAATGGAAAGAGCACAGTTCTCCTTTATCTCGTCTTTTACTTTAATTTTTTCATGTTTTATTGCGAACTGTTGGGAGTTCGGCTTGCTTCTATTGAATTGGGAGTTCGTGATGTTATTGTGACGATGCGGACGAACTCGGTAGGCTCTTCGAACTTGAATCGCGGTTGGCGGATTGCTGTTCGAAAGAGTGAGTGCGGGTTGGGCTCCGGCTTTGAATAGTGGGCACCATGGGGGTGCGGGCGAGACGGGTCTCGGCTTTTGAGATTGTATTCGTGGGGAATACTTAGTTCGATCTCCTGGCCAGGGAGTCGATATATGGAGTTAGTAATAGAATGAAAAGGATGGATTTTTATTGGATTTGTAGCTGGACTCGAAATCGAGCTGCCTACGTACCCTTTTGCAAGGGATCAAGCCACTCGTAGTTCAGTTTACAGGGGTGAGTTCGGCCGGAGCCGGACTGGTTTTTTTTTTTTTTTTTGGGTCCGCGCACATGTTGGCTGGGACTTAGTAATAATATCGTTTGAGATTGGCTGAGTTCCAGGATCGCGGGATCGGCGTTCCGTCGAGCTGCATGAGTTCGTAAACCCCAGGCTTGACGTTTCTCATTATCTGGTATGGACCTTCCCAGTTCGTTCCCAGTTTGCCTGAGTTCAGCTCCTCAGTGTTCTGGAACACTTTGCGTAAGACGAGGTCGCCTTCATCGAAGTGCCGACCTCGCACTTTCTTGTTGTAGTACCGAGCAGCGAGGTTTTGATAGTTCTGAATCCGGAGAAGAGCTAAACAGCATTGCTCTTCCAAGTTATCGAGGTTGTTGAGCATCATCTGGTCGTTGAGATCGAGATCTTCGGGGAGCACTGAGTACCTTAAGGTTGGAATACTCACTTCAGCCGGGCAGAGGGCTTCGAGTCCGTACGCTAAGGAAAAGAGTGATTGTCCTGTCGATCGTCTAAGAGTAGTTCGGTGCGACCATAAGACTCCGTCGAGCTCGTCTGCCCAAGTACCTTTCTTAGCCTCGCGACGTTTCTTAATGCCGTCCAGGAAGGTCTTGTTGGTTGCCTCGGCTTGGCCATTGCCTTGCGGATATCGCGGGGTAGAGAAACTAAGACGGATTTTGAACTTTGCGCACCATTCATTGAACGTCCCAGCAATAAATTGTGGTCCGTTGTCCGTGACGATCTCGTGCGGGACCCCGTGTCGACAAATGATGTACTTCCAGACGAATTTTTGTACGTCCAGTGCGGGAATCACTGAGTACGCTTCGGCCTCAACCCATTTTGTGAAGTAGTCGGTCATAATCAAGATATACTGCTTTTGATTTGTTGATCGGCATAAAGGACCAACGATGTCCATAGCCCACCGCATAAAGGGGTAAGGGGCCGTACTGGTTTGCAGTAGTTCGGTCGGCACGTTAATCATTGGACCATGGCGTTGGCACTTATCGCACTTCATGACAAACTTTTTGCAGTTCGCGTTCATCGTCGGCCAAAAATAGCTGGCTGTTTTTATTTTCAGAGCTAGGGATCGACCTCCGGAGTGATTGCCACCGGACCCTTCGTGGACTTCGCGCATGATTTCGACTGTATCGTTCCCGGATACGCAGGCCAAGAGTACTCCGGATGCACTCCAACGGAATAGCTTATCTTTGTGCATTGTATAGTGGGAAGCCCGGACTTTAAGACGGCGAGCAGCCCATTTGTCATCAGGGACTTTGCCGTGGAGGAGATATTCTCGCAGTTCGGCTGTCCAATCTTTGACGGACTCGTTTTCCTGGTTTTCGCTAGTTTATGGACTATGGATTCCTTCGGTTTTGTGCTCGAAGTCGTGATCGGCGGCTAGGTCTTCTGGAGCCTGTTCGGCATTTTCCTTAAGTTCCTGCCCGGCATTTTTGTTCGTCCGGGTCGAGTTCCTGTTTTGTGTCGTAGTTCCGTCGGCGAGTAGCAACATTGCACTTCAGCGCGGTTTTGGTACTTGGTTTGGAGATACTCTCGACCGGGATCCTTCTTTTCATATGCGGGTCAGAACTGGAGGCTAAGGCGGCTAACGCGTCAGCTGATGAGTTCTCGCCGCGAGGAATTTTCGTGAGCTCGAACGTCTCAAATTTCGAGATGAGAGCCTTAGTCGTTGTTACGTATGCGTCCATTCGTTCGTTTTTGGTCGTGTATTCTCCGCTTAACTGACTTGCGACAAGCTGCGAATCGCAGAAAGCGTGAAGATGTCGCACGCCAAGCTCTGTGGCCAATCGTAGTCCGGCAAGTAGAGCTTCATACTCGGACTCATTGTTGGACGCTGGAAACTCGAGGCGGAACGATTGTTCAAGGATCTCACCGTTCGGAGACTTCAGGCGGATTCCGACACCTGATCCCCGTGTGATGACGATCCGTCGACATGCAGAATCCATAGCTCGCGGGGCGGCTGTTCGACGACGAACTCTTTGGGGAGTTCGATCAGAAAATCGGCAAGTACCTGGGACTTCGCGCTGGTTCGATTCTTGTACTCTATATCGTACTCGCTCAGTTCGACGGGCCCATTTTGCGAGGCAACCCGATTGGCTCAGACTGTGCAAAATGGTTCGGAGTGGCTGGTCGGTCAAGACTTTGATCGAATGAGACTGGAAATATAGCCGAAGCTTCCGAGCATAAGTCACCACCGCAAGCGCTAATTTTTCTAAGGTCAGGTATCTGGCCTCGGCGTCACTTAGCGATTTGCTGACATAGAATATGGGACGTTGTTCCCCTCTGTCCTCGTTGTTCTCGGGTTTAGCTAGGATGGGGGGGTCGAGAGATACGTTTTCAGCTGCTTGAAGGCGTCTTCGCACTCGGCGTTCCAAGTATGATGCTTGTTACCTCGTAACAACTTGGTAGAAAGGCAAGCACTTGTCCGTCGACCTGGAGATAAATCTGTTCAGGGCGGCAATTCGGCCTGTGAGTTTTTGCACTTCTCTTTTAGAAGTCAGTGAAGGTAGATCGAGAACTGCAGATATTTGCTTCGGGTTAGCTTCGATGTCGCGCTCAGTGACGATGTAACCTAGGAATTCGCCTGCTGTTACGCCGAAGGTGCACTTGGCGGGATTAAGTTTCATCCCGTACTCGTTCAGAATGTCGAAACACGTTGACAAGTGCGATATGTAGTCTTTAGCGTACATGGATTTAACCAACATGTCGTCAATGTATACCTCCATCGTTTTCCCGAGCTGACTGGCGAACATACGGTTCACGAGTCTTTGATAGGTGGCTCCCGCGTTCTTGAGGCCAAACGACATGACCTTATAGCAGTAGATTCCTCGATCTGTAATGAACGAAGTCTTTTTCTGATCATCCGGATGCATTAGGATTTGGTTATACACCGAGAAGGCATCCATGAAGGATAACAGCTCGTTGCCGGCAGTTGCCTCTACCAACCGATCGATGTGTGGCAGTGGGAAGCTATCTTTGGGACAAGCCTTGTTCAGGTCGGTAAAGTCGACGCAGATCCTCCACTTCCCATTCTTTTTCTTCACGACTACCGGGTTTGCCAGCTAGTCCGGGTATCGAACCTCCGTGATCGAACCGGCTTTGAGCAATTTTTCGACCTCATCGTTTACTGCTCGCGCTTTCTCGGGTCCGAGCTTGCGTCTCTTCTGTTTGATAGGTTTATATGTGGGATCGATGTTTAGCTCGTGACAAGTGATGTCGGGATTGATTCCGGGCATGTCGCTGATATTCCATGCGAATGTGGAGACGTTCTTCTGGAGGAAACTGATGAGTGCTTCCCAGATACTGTTGTCGAGCTCGGCCCCTATGCCGACACACTTTTCTGGATTTGTCGGATCGATGCAGACTTGGTCAACTTGGCTCTGTTTGGGTGGACCGAACTGGCTCTCTGCGGCCGTACGACCTTCCTGAAAGGGGCTTATGACGCACGTCCGTGCGAGACTTAGTTTGCATTCGGTGAGATGACATAATCGGGACGCGGTCTGGCTTCCTTTGAGGGTGAAAATCCCTGACGGGGTCGGGAACTTGACGCACTGATGGAACGTTGAAGCGACGGCCTTCATGTCGAACAGCCAGGGCGTTCCCAAATTTTCATTATATATCGCCGGTTTGTTGAGGACCAAGAACTTGATCATTCGGGCTGATCCGCCGACATAAATGGGTATCTTCACCGTCCCTACTGTCCTCGTTTTCTCTCCGGTGAATCTGGTCAATGATTCCATATAAGGCTTGATCTCGGAATCCGGAAAATCCATATTCTTGAGGGTTTCCTTGAATATGACATTTACCGAAATCCCCGTGTCGATTAAAATTCTGCTCACTTCGACGTCTCCGAGCTGAAGCTCCACGACGAGGCAATCGTTATGAGGCATATGTACTCCCCGCAAGTCGGCTTCGGTGAATAACAGTGGTACGGTTGTGACCGCTGTCTGGGGTTGCGAACTCGACGCTTGCCGGCTGTACTCCTTGAGGGCTCAGACGGAGTAGTTGCATGATTCGAGGGCTCCCATAATCATATTGACCTTCTTCCTGGTTTTGGGGACGTTCGCCTCTCTATTAGGTGCTTCGCGGTCTCGTTTAGGGGGAGCAACTTGTTCTTCATCGGAATCGGCTGCCTTAGCGGCTTCTTGATTGCCGGGTTTGTTTGGTCGCGGGTTCGGCCGCCGGGGTCCCGGTTTAGGCAAATCTGCGGTGTCGATCTCGCCCTTGCGGAACTGTTGAAGTAAGAAGTCCCTCAAATGTCGGCATTCCTCTGTGCTATGCCCATATCGCTCGTGATACTCGCAAAAACGTTCACTTAGCGGCGTATCATCGTCCTTATGCCATGTGTTCCAAGATTTTGGAGGTCGTCCTGTCTTTTGGTTCGACGGTCCTGCCTGGTTCACTACTCCACGCGGTTTCCCGGGCTGAACCTTCGTTTCCGAGCTCTCTTTGGGGTTTGGCGTCTGGCCGGGCTTTGTCGTTGAATACTGCCGATCCGTGGCGGCTTCTTCTTCTTCTTCTGCGATGAAGATGTTTGACTTTATGAAGCGCGTCCTCGAGGGTGAGCGGTCTGTTTCTGCGAAGCTCTTTGTGAAAGGGTGATTTATACCATGTTTTCTGATACAGGGCTTCTAGAGCGGCTTCATCGTCCACCGTACAGTGTGCTACGATCTGTTTGAAATGTGCCATGAAGTCTCGGAGCGACTCATTCTCGCCCTGTGATATCTCCCACAGCTCGGAATTACGAGTTTTCTGCCCGATGAACATCGAGAAATGCTTTGCGAACTTAGTCGAGAGTTCCTTGTAGTTGTCGATGGAGTCGGCTTCCAATCTTGAAAACCAATCTAGAGCTATGCCTTCGAGGTGTTCGACGAACAACTGGCATTGAATCGTGTCTTTCTGTTCGGCCGAGGTGAACTTCAGTCGGTTAATTACGATACCGAATGAGGTAAGGAAATGCCTCGGATCGGAGTTCCCCTCGTACGATCGTAGCTTAAACTTTTCTAAGTTTGGGACGGGGACGTTGGTGATCCGGGAAGTGAACGGTGTTTTCTGTGCTTCCTGGATTACGCGGTCGATTTCGGGTGCCGAGCTGGTGGCTTGGTGAAACTTTGAACTGATCTCTCGCAGTTGGGCCTGCATCCGCTCGATCTCCAGGTCGCGCGCTGTTGGTTGAGCTCGCACATACTGAGATGGGCTCTCCGTCTGCTGGTGCTTCTGAACTACTGACCGCGCCACTGTGCACTGCGGATCTCGCTCTTCGTGGAAGTCACTAATGAGGTTCCGTCTTCTAATCAGACTCTCTTGCTGTAGGTTGGAGATCTGTGCGGTGAGGGTTGCGAACTTCGCGTCGTTGCTTCGGACCAACTCTTGCATCTGCGCGGCGAAGGCGTTCATAAGCGCGGTTGGATCGAAGGCAGCTGGTGAGGTTTGGTGAGCCCCGGCGCTTGAGCTCGGCTCTGTCCGGACTTGTTGCGCTTCCGGTTGGGGTTGTGCGGGGCTGCGTTCACGTTCCTCCACAGGCTCTCCGACCTGGCCCACAGGTCCTCCGACCTGGGTGGTCTTATCCGCACAGGTCATCTGACTCCCGACCTCGACTGAGGTCGGTTGTCTATCATCACTTGTCATGTCGTCCTGGCCGATTACCAAACCGGCCCCACGGTGGGCGCCAATTGTTGATTACGGTATTCAACTATTCGAGGTCGGTCCGGTAATTTGAGTTCGAAAAAGATTAAGTTGATTAGATTTTATTAAGTTCTCAATTACAGTTCGTTCGTTTCGGAGGTCGCTCAACGAACTCAATACAATATTCAGGTCTCTATTCTCCGGGTCCGAAAAAGATCCCTTTTACAGTAACAATTATATTATTTATAGTACATAAGCGAGGAGACGTTCTAAGGCTTCTCGTTCAGCTCTCACCGCCTCTCGTCGCTGGGCTTCTTTCTTATGGACCGTGCTGTCAGGCCAGACCCATTTCGGCTAAGACCGTCGTAAACCGGGGTTAATTGGGCCGGTCTCGATCTTTAACATTGTAGTTCAAGCCTCTTCCAATTCCTCTTCTTCTACACAGAATATATCACAATATGGAACCAAAGCTTAGCAAGAACAGAGTCTAGTGTTCGACTTATCATAGAACATAGTCTAGTATATGACCAAAATGTTAGATTTGATAGGATATGTAATATAGGACATAGTTCAGTCATGTAATATCATATAATACGTAGTGCATAAACAAGTGCTAACTTTGACATATGGAACATCTCATATTAATATATTTCATCTGTATTATTAACATTTGATAAGATATTGATGTTCTTTCTAATAACTCATGTCATTGTGTTGGTCATTTTAACTTTAAACCATTTTTTACTTAAAAGGGCCGTTTAAAAACCATGATTTTGCCTATAGATGATTTCGTTTAGCCAAAACTAAGAGGCAAGTACTTCACGAGGTAGTCTGTTAAAGTGGTAATAGATTGAATTATTTTGTTATTATAATATTAAATTTTTCATATTGATAGTATTAGACAAAAGTTTGGATATATGGTGGAGGATGATGCACTTTGGACTATTCTTTGACTATACACTTTTTATCCCACGAATTACAAATACACACGTCGCAAACCCCAAAAACCTAATTTCTTTCAGCTTTTTAGCTCTTTAAATATTTCTCTCATTCTTTGCTTCTTGGTTACAACATCTATATACATTTTCTCACTCTCACAAAATCACACAAAGAGAGACACAGAGACTAAAAAAAGAAGAAGCTATGAACAAACAGAGTTTGAAGAGACTTCAGTTCCAGAAATGGGGAAAGCGAATGGGAAGCTCAACGACGGCTTCTTCAAAGGTGTTAGGAAACTCAGGGGAAAGAGCGATTGTGGCGTTTGCGTTCTCATGTTGTGGGAAACCTCCTCGCGTTCTCGTGAAGCAGTTTGTTTGGAGGTTGAAATCGCGTTTAAGGTGGTCAACGAAGAGTGATTGTAATAATATTCAGTGTAGCTATGATCTCCGGAGCTATCATCTTAATTTCGACGACGGTTGGTCTCGTCGACGGTGATTTAAAAAAAAAACGGGTTATTATTGTTAATTTCATATTTTTGTATATAATGAAAAGTCTCAATCGAAGAAGAAAACATTTTGATAAGTTTCGTATTTTCTTTAAGAAACTTTAAGAAGAAAAATTGAAAGATCTTTTTTTTGTTCATATGCTTAATTTGTTTATTATTATTTTTTAAGAAAGAGCTTTTTATATTTGTTGATCCAAATACTTGTCGAATATAGACACAAAAATTATATCTTAGAAAGATATCAATGCTTTTGACAGGTGAAGAAAAACCGCATACTCCCTATGAGAAGATTGACCCAAAAAGAAAAAAATATCTCATACTTCCCTCTGTATCTTCAAAGTTAAAAGTTTTAGGTTTTTTTGTTTTGTTTCACAAACACAAACAAAAATGTGTTCAAATTTCAATGTAAATTTGATGTTTCATTACCAGTTAAAATAAAGATAGAGAGGTTTTATGTGAACACAGAGTAAACTAGTTTTCAACTAGAGAGATGTTAATTGAGACTAGATATATGTTAAATTTAATATTAGGTATTACAAATTCACAACTAGTTCTTCTGTACCGTGTTAAAATCAGAAAAAAAATACAACCTCATCAAGAGGCAAGAAGCTGAGAGTTGAATCTGATTCCTCCAAGATGCCATGTAGATCCGAAAAGGATGTACTAGAAGTAATGGCATTTTTTTATGCTATTGTCTCTAAACATGTCCTTCGTGCTGAGAATGCCAAGGTTGATTCATTAGCAAAACAAGCCATAAACTTATTCAATTGTAAGCTCAATTTCAGGCTAAGTATGAAAGGGAAAAAAACATGTTTGGACCCCAAAAAAGAAAATACAACTTCAAGAGAAAGATGGTGTAAAATAATATACCTTAATTTTGTTATTTCCTACCTCTTTAAAAAGTTATTTACTGTTAATATTCAAAATGTTTTTTTTTTTTAACAGCTGATTCATTTAACAGCTGTTTCATAGCTGATAAGCTGGTCCATATTCTTTTAAATTTGGTGTTGTGGATGATTTTATAAACTCATAAATGGAATTATTAAATTGATTTGATGTGGATGAAGAAAAATATTGCCAATAATGAAGATATTCTGAAAATTGAATAATAAGAATATATTTATGAAAATTGCTCTTAAAAATTTTCAAGTTTTTTTTTTGCAAATGAAAATCTTGAAATCAAAGTGGCAATCATCACTTCATTTGATTATGTATGAAGTAATCAAATCAATTACCTAACAAATGCCCCCACAATGTTAATAATTATCACTCAAGACACCATTGTGATAGAGAAACCTCACAATTATCATTGGAGTGTTGATAGTTGATACCAATACAATCTAGCAAGCTTTCTCATCTCATTTTATTTGCACAATTTAATATCAAAATATTTTTTGCTTCCAAATGTATTCCAAATATTTGCTAATTTAAAACTAAATGATTTTTGTTTCCAAATCTTTTCCACTTAAAAAAAAAAACGAAACTTGATATTCGTTTGGGCCAAAAGAAAACGTACATGGGTTTACATTCCTAACGGGCCTAATTTCCTATAGATACGAAACGCAGCGTTTTAGATCGTTCATTCATCTCTCTTCTCTCGCCGAGTAAAGAGAGCAAGGAAAGCTCAGCCATGGCCGTTTACAGAGCACCACCGCAATTGAGCTTCCCGTCTTTCACAACCACGACCACCTCCTTCTCACCACGCCACGTCAGCCCTATAATGTCGAACCAATCACCAAAATCAAGCACGAGCACCAGCATCTTCACCTCCGCCACAAAGCTACTCTGGGGCCCATCTCTTCCTCCGGGTCTACTCATCTCCACCGCTCGAACAGCCTGGACCACCGTATGGCAACTCATGATGACCCAGCTCGCTCCATCAGACTCATCCGGGTCATACACCCGACCCACTTCCCAATTCCGCCTAAACCCGACCCAATTCTCTTCCGCCGCTTCCTCGGAGCTACATCTCTACGTCGGTCTTCCTTGCCCATGGGCTCACCGAACCCTAATCGTACGCGCTCTCAAGGGTTTAAACGACGCCGTTTCCGTCTCGGTCGCGTCTCCGGGTCAAGACGGATCGTGGGAATTCAAGGATTATAACAGTATCCCAATACAGGATAAGGATAAAGTTATCCCGAGTTTGGATAAGGCAAACCGGTGCCGGAATCTGAAGGAAGTGTATAAATCGAGAACCGGTGGTTACGACGGGAGGTGTACGGTTCCGATGCTTTGGGATTCGAGGAAGAAGGAAGTTATCTGCAACGAAAGCTACGATATTATCGTCTTCTTCAATTCGGGTCTAAACGAATTTGCTCGAAACCCTGAGTTGGATCTCTCTCCACCAGAATTGAAAGAGAAGATCGAGAATTGGAATCGGATTGTGTACCCTAAAGTTAACAATGGCGTTTACAGGTAAATTAACAATAAAGCTTATAGAAAGCTAACAATGGCGACTGAATTGTTAAAGTTTATGGCTTTCTTGCTGTTTACTCATAGCTTTTTCTTTTTTATGCTGCAACGTGTGTGTTGTTGCTAAAGTTTAAGGCTTTTTGTTCGTGTGGTGATTTGGTTTGATTGATGTTTTCGAAAGGTGTGGATTTGCGCAGAGCCAAGAAGCGTATGATCAAGCAGTGAATGAAATCTTCAGTACTTTAGATGAGATTGAAGAAAACTTGAGTGGTAGTAGATACTTGTGTGGAGAGAAGCTAACTTTGGCCGATGTGTGTCTGTTCACAACTCTGTTTCGTTTCGATCCTGTTTACAACATTTTGTTCAAATGCACCAAGAAGAAGCTCGTCGAGTACCCAAATCTTTATGGCTATTTGCGCGACATTTACCAGGTATCAAATATTTTCTCTATCTCTAAACCCAAATTCTGCGTTTGGAAGTGCGTTTTTCGATAAACTGCGTTTGTTGTTTGAAACAGATTCCTGGTGTTGCGGCTACTTGTGATCTCCCCGCTATAATGGATGGTTATTATAAAACGCTGTTTCCGCTAAACGCAAGTGGAATTGGACCGGCTATTTCCTCGTCTGGCGATCAAGATTCTCTCTTGAGACCACATAACAGAGACTTGGTGGGTAAAGTCGTTGAAGCAGAGTATGCGGTTTAAGCGGAGAAAACTGTACATAGCTCAAAATGATAGGATGATGCTGTAGCAGTCAAAGTATATCATATTACATTGTAATAAGGGTATATAAGCTCTGTTTATATTCTGATCTTTGGTTCATCTTTCCCTGTAAAACCATATAAATATACAAAGAAGAGAAACCTTCGACAAGCACTTTCATGGGAGCTTCTCTTTTAAGTTGGGATCGCTTTCAAGATTCTCTTATACTGTTAAACCAAAGCCGTAGCCATTTAACTTAAGCCATAACGAGATATTTGGATATAGTTAAACCGAAGCCATAGCCATTAGAAGTGTAGAACCTAAGTTAAGCTTTACAGAAGAGCTTGTTATCACAAAATATTAATTCAGTTTATCAGGACAAAAGTGCTATCCTCCGATAATCTCCCCTAAGATGGACCCGACCGACCGACTTTACTTATATGCCTTGTCGGATTGACAATAGAGAGTTTTTGAAAAATTTGCCATTTCATTCACAAAAAGAGACTGGGCCACCAAAAATCCTCAAAAACTACCAACGTCATCAATCATGTTCGCTTCTTCTTACCCTTCTTGCTTTCTGCACCAACAGAGATTTGCTTGTTAGTTGCAGGAAAAATCAAGAGTCCATGTACCAAAAACTGACATAAACATTCAACAGCGAAACGAAGGAAAGATATTATCAATCAGAAATCTTTTGAGTTTTGATGATTACTCACTGGTTATCGGCTTAATGATACGACAGAACTCGCTACCACATTGACATTGGAATGGAAGCGTGGGATACACAAGATCATTGAACTCGACGCCATAATCCTGCAGGTTAAGTCCAAAACTTCTCAGACAGAATCACACAAAAAAAAAAAGACAGGAACCGAACTTGTGTAACTTTCTAAAATAAATAATTCTGTTAAAACTGGGTTGAAATTTTGAACACACCCAGGTAAGTTCCTCCATAGCATCGATCTCTCTTTTTGTGAAGAACGCAAGCTGGGAAAAAACACAGATTAGCTTCTCGTTCTATAGTTTCCACATAACAGACGAGACTTCTATAAACAAGGGATTATAAATGAAACCAGGATTTTGAGTCATACATGATAGTAGTGCAGGTCCGCATTCTCCACATGCACTGGGATATCAATCAAATTTGCATCTGAGCATCTGTACATAGTTACATACACATAGACATAGTACTACGGTTAGAAGTTATGATATGAAAGGAAAAACAAAATAATAAGTTCACCAAAAAATGAGTACCTAAAGCTAAACCAAAGGAATCACACCCATTATTGTGTTCGTATAAGCCCTTTTAACTTTACCTGTGATTGATGAACCTAGAAATATTTCCATAATGCGTTCCGTCAAGACAAAGAGCTTTGTTATCACCTGAAGCTTCTTCAGAACCCCAGTGTGCATCCAATATTACAGGAGAATTAAAATTCTCAGAGCTGCGTTGGTACAGCTCTGGAATGGTCAATATCTCTCCAGCAAACTCACAGACAAATGCTCCTTTAGGCAGCTTTTCCAGGGTCCTGAGTCCCCAACCTCTCCCATTGGACGTGAAAAACACCTGGATGAAAAGAAATGGTTTTTCCAGATTTCACTAATAAGCATAAACAAAATTTATCCAACAGAAACTCTCAACCAATTTCGTCCAAGTCTGAATGATCATAACCACTTCCTGTTTATCAACCAGAATTGATGTCTTTTAGATTGTAAAATAGTGGACTTGGTAAAACAAACTAGGTAAGGTGAGCGTAGATACCTGCAGCTTGTTGTGAATCCCCTGTTGGACAACTCGGTTGCCACATCTCTTGATACAGCCACAATTGATCCAACATTCTTTAATGGCCTTCCTCTTCAGATGCCCATTGCAAGGTTTCAGAATCTCTTCTTTTTTGGCCTTCTCCAATGGACACTCTCTGCAATACTGAACCACATGCTTCTGCGGATCACGGGCCTCAGTGATACACTCTTCCAGGAAATTTTCATGTAGGAGGCCATCTACTGTGTATGTCAAGGCAGCTGCACACTTGCATGCCATCGATGGAGCCAAGCAGTCGTTACAGCAAGTGGAGCAGCACTGATCATCCCTTATCCTAGCTATTGAAAACTTCACTGCTGCATCAAGATACACAAGGCTTTGGGCAATGTAGCGAAAAACTGGAGGAACCTTGCTATTGACTTCATTCACCCAAGGAATCTCAACAGTTTCTTTCCCTAGAGTGATGTCTCCGATACTGCTTATCAATCTGTACTCATCCGCAGAAATCTGGCATTCAGGAACAACTACCAAACCCATGGAGTCACCAACTCCACCGCCTTCATCATTACTGCCCTCAGAAGTAAACGCCATAGTTGCTTCAGATGTCTTCAGTACATCAACCTCCATCGGAACAATCGCCAAGTTTTCTGGCTGCCACTGGTTGGCTGAATTTCTCGCCTTTGTTGCCAGGTCATTACAGCCATTAGAAGTAAAAGCCATTGCTGCTGCAGATTTCTTCAATACGTCAACATTAGTTGTGAGAAACGGCAAGTTTTCAGGTGACTGGATAGCTGAATTTTCCGCCTTTGTCGCCAGTTCCAGGTAGCAGCTACAGATGTCGTTCATAAAACGACCTACAGAGAAGTTAGGGTCCAGTATTTTGTATTGTCGGAGACATTTCTCCTCCATTGCTCTTCGTAGTTCCTCCATAGTAGGTAGATGCAGATTCGATCGTCCAGTTGCAGGAGCAAAACTAAGGTTAATCTTCACTTCACCCGTATCAGAAGAAGCTAATTCGAGTGTTGACGATTCTGTTAGGGTTGCAGCCAGCTTGTGCTCACTAGATATCTCAATAGTTGTAGGAAGAGCGTCAATGGTATCAGCAATCTCTTCCCCTTGTCCGTTTGTTATCTCCACCTCAGACATGGGAAGTGAAGAGTTCCCATTATCTAACGAATCTAAAGATAGACACCAAGAGAAAACATACAAGACACATGTCAGTTTTGAAACAAGTAGCCTCAACACTTCATCACAACAACGGAAGATTTAGCTACTCCTATTTATGAAAAAGAATACCAGGATGAATAGAACTTAAAGGCGTATCTGTAGAGGGCTCATCTTTTGGAATAATGAGCGCACCAGCATCAGGGCCATTTTCAATTGGCAGAGGATGATATGGCAATAAGATAGGTGCAGCTTCTCCGTCAACAGTTGTAGGTTCTTTCAAACTGGGACTGCCCACGTCAGGACTGTTCAAAGCCGAAGCAGACCCATCTTCACCTCTGCGTCGCAGCCTCTTTAAAGGGCGTTCAGGCTCATCCGTCTCATCTTCATCTTCGTTCGGTTTGCATACTTCAGGCGCCTTCTTCTTTTCTCTGTCTGTTTCTGGAGCCTGAAAGTTTGGATCAACAACAAATTAAGGCATGATAACAAAGCAAAAAGAAAATATAAACTTTGAGCTAATAAAAGGAAGATTATGAGGAAAGAACATACGCTTCCTTCAGCTTCCTCAGGCTTCTTCTCATTGCCTTTCGTTTCTTCAGTGGCCTTCATATTTAATGTCAATATGGAATGTCAAGGTGATAACAAAGCAAAATGATATAAATTTACAGATATAACATCATTGAGTCAGTGAAACAAGAAAGATACCTGAGTCTCTTGGCTATCGAAGATAGCATCAGCTAGAGCTCTATAATTGTCCTCGGCAATTAACTCCCAGTTTTTGTCATATAGATTCAAAAGGTTTTTCAAAACCGGCTTGATTTGCGCATCCTTTATTCCAAGAGCATTCATAGCTTTGAATGCTTTTTTGACATGCACACTTGGTGCCATAGTGTATGCAAAAAGTCTCTGCAACAACATTAAAAAAATAATGATTTCAATCACCAGCCTCAACAAATTTAAGAGTACCTGAACCTGGAAAGACAATTATAGCTTCTCATCTTCCTCATCATATCAAATGCGGAAGAAACAAGATACGAGGAGGAAATAAATGGAGCTAAAACTTAAGAAAATTCAGAGAAATCAAACGAAAATGAAGAACAGTTAAAGCTTTAAATGCTTTTTAGACATGCAGATTTAGATCCATAGTTTATGCCAAAAGTTTCTGCAACAACATTAAAAAAAATTGATTTCAATCACCAGCCTCAACAAAATGTACGAGAACTTGGAAAGACAAATTATAGCTTCTCATCGTCCTCATCATATCAAATCCAGAAGAAACAAGATACGATGAGGAAGTAAATGGAGCTAAAACTTACGATAAATTCAGAGAAATCAAACGAAAATGAAGAACAGTCACAGCAAATCAACATTTCAGAAAAAACATCAAACATAGCAGTAAAATTTCTCTGAGGAAACCAGAAACCCAAGTGGGTCACTGATTTTGAGCTTATGTAACCCTAATAAAACGTTTTTTTCCTCTTCCAGAGAGCAATAAACATCTTCCGATACTCAAAAGAGAAGACGATCGCCGAGAATTTAGAAGAACTTACGGAAATGTGGTGATGGTTAGGGTTTAACAAAAGCTCGGTAGAACGAAGAATACGAGGGTTTGGATGCTTGGTAGAGAACCGTGACCGTTGAAACGCAAGGGAAGTGCTGCTGGAGACAATGCTGGCGTCGACGGCAGAGAATTGCGTCGGCGCGTGAGAACACGCGAGTACTGACCAGGTGATTTCTCTCGTTCTGTATTTGCTCGTTTCGCTACAGTGCGCCAAATGCTGGACAGTGACTTTCTAGTGACCTCTGTTGAAATTCCTTTACTCTCCTCCTATTAATGGGCTGGGCTTAGTTTGGTCGGGTTGACCCGGCTTGGACAAAAGTGGCCGTTGAGAATCCCAAACGATTCGAGTTTAATGGAAAAAAAAGTAATGAATGATTATTTAAAAAAAAAGTATAATTGATTTTAAGCCCCTTAACCGATTGGTAAATGGTAAATATAACGCTGAACTCCAAATCTAAAGTCACAACATTGTTTCGTTTTTCATAAATTGTAAGCAACTCGTTCTAAACATTCCTGACATGAAAAAAATCACCAAATAATTTTGTGTTATACCTTACCAATTACCATGATCTTCATTTAGCACATGCCAATAGAGTATTTGAACTATATCCCGATTCAAATACAAAAATCAATCTAAATTTCATTTTAACTATTTATAAAGACTAAAGTAGAGCCTATAATTTATTATGGTTAATTAGTAATAGACGATAAAAAGATGTCTTGTCTCTCTATGGCGATTTTTTGGGCGATACAATGTTTCGTTTCGAATCAACGTCTATTCAACTCTGAGAGAATTTACGCTGGTGGTTATCGGCGGTTTCTTCAAGTCTTTGAGTCGGAATAACTGTCGCTACATGAATAACCGTCAGGACAGGATTTCTATATATAACTTGTGTCTATTTCCTTTGATTCTCTGTCGATCAATTCATAGGAATTTCTTTTTCCTTTTTCATATTGATCATGTCTAACAAAATCAGGAAACAGCTACAGGACATTTCCCTAGGAATCCAAGATGAAATTATTAGCGTACCTTTGGAAATTTGTGATGTAGCAGTGAAATAGACTCGATTTTCTCTAATCGGGAAGCCAGTCAACCTGAAGCGACTGCAAATCTGAGAGCCATGATGTCTGCTTTGCCTCGCCTCTAGGGTGTGGGTGATGAAGTTGTGGGCAGAATCTTGGAGAATACAAAGATTCATATCTTGTTCCATTCAGAAGAATCGATGCTTTCAGTCTTACGGAGGGGACCATTGTCATTCAATGAGTGTATGTGTGTCATCTAGAAATGGAATTCACTCCACTCAGACAATGATTTGAAGACCATTCCGTTTTGGGTTCAGATAAGAGGGATTCCTCTTTAATTTCTGACAGATCGTATTGTGAGACACATTGGTAATGTGATGGGTCACTTTCTCGAAACGGATTTCCAAGGAGATGGGGCACTTCATGTGGATTATGTTAGGGTTCGGCTTCTTTGGAACATCGAGACACCACTTCGTTTTCAGAGGCTGTTCCAGTTTCGGGATGAAACGAGTGTCCTCAAATTCCGATATGAAAAACTTCGAAGCTACTGTTCTGTTTGTGGGATTCTATCCCATGATGCTGTTAATTGTCCAACAAACAACAACCTGAATCCAGAGGCTCCACAAGATGATAATGATTATGATGACGACGATGGTGAAAATCCTCCAGATCTCCCAGAGTATCAAGAGGGTGCAAGTCCGACGCAGGAGAAGACTCATAATGGGGAAGGTACCAGCGAATACAATGCAACTCCAAACAAGAAGAGGAAGACTGAGTCGCCATCACCAACTACATATATCCCAATGGTTTACTGCGATATGAAACATGTCATTGTTATTGAAGAATATGAGGATCACAATGCTAAGAGGAAGCGAACTCAGGCTGAAGTAATGGAGGTAAGGAATTGGTTTATGCAACCCAGTGAAGATGCAGCAAGCACATCCAGAGGCAATGAATCGACCAGTGCTCAGGCACAACACAAACTGATCGAGAGGGCATGGTGGTTCAGAAGCCACCGGAATCAGGATGAATACAACCTTTTAGAACTGCCAAGGATTAAAAAGGTCCCTGGTAGTTTGACGTCTAAAAGGGATTAAGGCATCTTATTCCCCTGACTTACTCTTTCTCATCGAAACCAAGAATCTCGATGATGTGGTGCGAGATGTTGCTGCTGAAGTTGATTATGACTATGTTAGGTGTGTGTCGCCACTATGTACTGGTGGTGGTTTAGCTTTGCTCTGGAACAAATCTCTTTCTGTTTGTTTTTTCATTGATGATGAAAGACTCCTTGATTGTAAGATAAGTAATAAAGACGGTGTTTTCTATTTGTCTTGCATATATGGTCATCCGGTTCGTAAAGAAAGACATATTCTCTGGAAAAAAATAGAAAGAATTTCAACAGATCGAAAGAGTCCCTGGCTTATGTGTGGCAACTTTAACAAAATTTTATATCCACACGAGAATAGAGGAGGGCGAGAGAGAGATAATTGGTCCTTAGTTGATTTTCTTAATATGGTTAACAATTGCAAAGTCGTTGATCTTCCTTTCACAGGTAACAATATGATTTGGACCGGTAAACGCAAAAATTACACTATTGAGAGTTGGCCAGATCGGGAAATAGCAAATGATGAATGGAGAGCAACTTATCCTTCATCTGAAGTGGAATACTTAGAACTTATTGAATCCAATCACAGATCTGCAATAATCAAAATTAGAAGACAAATTTACCAAGGGAAAAGAAATTTCAGATTCGATCCTCGATGTAATGAAATAGCAGATTTTCAGGAAGTTATAAAAAAAGATGGTTAATGGGAAGAAGAGATCGAGATTATCCTTCCATTACTGATCGCATCAAACATTGCAGGAATTCCATCGCTCTTTGGAAGAGGAATAACAAAACAAATTCAGCACACCAAATTGAAGAGCTTAAGAGAAGGATTGACGAGGCTTATTCAAATCCTTCAGTGTCAACACAGGAAATAGCTGTGATGAGACAAGATTTGATTAAAGCTTACAGAGAAGAAGAAATGTACTAGAAACTCAGAAGCAGGAATAAATGGCTGAGAGAAGGGGACCGTAATACAAAGTTTTACCATGCTTCCACCAAAAACAAAACGGCACGTAATCTTATTGTTACCATCCAAACCACTGATGGTGTAGACATCTATGGCAATAGAGCTATAGGGCAGGAAGCACAACGTTATTTCACAGACCTCTTTACTTTAACAAATTTTTCTGATCTGCAACCGGTTTTGAGAAATATAAATAGCGTAGTAACTACGGAGATGAACCACACTTTAACCAAAGATCTAACTGTCTGAAGAATTACGCAAAGCAATTTTCTCCATACGAGCTACACAAGCGCTGGGACCGGATAGCTTTACAACATCTTTTTACCAACAACATTGGGATATTGTAGGTCCTGCAATTATTAATGAGGTTAGGAGGTTCTTCGTTTCAGGAGAGATGACCCCAGAGATAAATCATACAAACTTGTGCCTCATTCCAAAGATTGAAAACCCCAAAACAATGAAGGACTTCTGACCAATAGCTTTATGTAATGTGATGTATGAGATTATTTCCAAGATTCTGGTCTTCCGAGTCAAGTCAATTCTCCAAGATGTGGTTGCAGAGAATCAGGCTGCGTTTATACCAGGAAGATATATTACTGATAATGTGCTCACTGCCCATGAAGCTCTCCATACTTTAAGGATCAGACGCTGTTGTGCTAACTCTTATATGGCCGTTAAAAATGATATCAGTAAGGCATATGATCGTATTGAATGAAATTTCCTCGAAGAAGTTATGCAGAAAAATGGTTTCACTGATACATGGATTAAGTGGATTATGGCATGTGTCACTAGTGTCTCTTTCTCAATTCTTATTAATGAAAGCCTGTATGGAAATTTTGACGTCACACGAAGTCTTAGAAAAGGAGACCCATTGTCTCCATATCTATATATACTTTGTGCTGACGTTCTTAGCTCTCTGATGGAAGTGACGACACGTAAAGGTCAGATCCAAGCAATACGATTAAGTAACAGATGACCCCCTATTTCCCATTTACTTTTCGCGGATGACTCTCTATTTTTTGTGAAAGCTGACCACAAAAACAGTTGGAACCTGTTCAAGGTTTTTGAAAAATATAGCAAAGCTTCCGGACATGTTATCAATCTAGATAAATCAGCTATTACATTCGGAGAGCGGGTATATCAACATACAAGGGAAGTTATTCAGGGCATTTTGAGGATTCCAAATATTGGCGGGGGAGGTAAATATTTGGGTCTCCCATAACAATTTGGTCGGAAGAAAAAGTAAATGCTGCAATATGTTAAAGACAATGTTCTCAAAAAGATCAATGGGTACCAAACAAGATTTCTATCTCAAGCAGGCGAGGAAACGCTCATCAAGTCTGTGGCTTTCGCAATGCATATGAACTTCATGAATTGCTTTCAGATATCTAAAGAGTTATGTTCTGATATAGATAGCATGATTGAACGATTTTGGTGGGGAACCACACCAGAAAAATTTCTTGGATCTCTTGGAAAAAGATGACAACATCAAAGAGAGATGGAGGATTGGGATTCAGGGATCTACATAAGTTTAACCAAGCTTTGCTGGCGAATCAAGTATGGAAACTCCAAAGGAGACCTAGTTGTCTTCTATTTCGTGTTTTGAAAGCACATTACTTTTGTGATGGTAACATCCTAACTGCAAACAGGGGAACCCAACCATCTTATGGCTGGCAAACTTTGCTGTTTAGACAAGATTTGTTAAAACAGGGGACATGTGTATGTATTGGAGATGGAGAAACGACTAGATTAGGAAGTGATTCATGGCTCCCCTTAGTGCCACCACGTGCTCCTCAATTGCGGCCGAACGTCGATCCAAATATTCTAGTAAAAGTACTTATCGACACGATATCTTTCCAATGGAATAATAGGAAAATAGAAGAACTGATTGAGGACCAAGATCAATATCTTATTCATAAAATCTTCCTGCCACCAATTATTAGAGAGGAAGAAGAAATGATGCAGGAAAGACCGAAGTGAAGAAGACAATGCCGAAAAAAAAAGAAAGAAAAGAGGAGGAGAGTCAAGGTCGGAGTTAAAAGATAAGGCCGAAAACATCTAAGACTCCTCAATGAAGAACTTCAAGTAATCAGATTGTTACTTAGGAGAAGTAACACTCAAGCAAAAGAAGAATGAAGCAAACAAGTGCTGAATGAAGATTAAGCCCAATGGAGCAAACAAAATTCGCTATAAGCTTCAAGATGGTGCAAGGGCCGAATTGTATGGTTACAATGAAGGGCAAAGACATGTTTAGACTAAGCATCCCATAAAGAAAGAAAGAGAAGGTGGCTGCTAAGTTCAAATATGGTTTAGGCGCCAAAGGGAAGTGTCACATGTTCTTGGAAGCAAAAGAATCACATGTGAGCGTAAAAGTGACCTAATAAAGGTCACTATCACTCCAAGAAGGTGCCATAGCTGTTGGAGACAAGAGTTACATAACCCTTTAATTTAAATTCAAAATAATGACATGTGACTCTCAAGAGTGTGAACACACCAAAAGAAACCATGAGCTGTCACTTTCAAGAGTGTGAACACAAAATAAAGAAGACATGTGACTCTTTAATACAGAGCAATATGTTAGAGCAGCTCCAACAGCAGGCTCTATAGGGGTTCTAGAGATAGTTTTAATATAAAAAAAAATGTTTTAATGGCTTTTTTCCTCATAACCGGTTCTTATTAGAGAGGCTGAAGAACCTCACTAGAGCCTCATACGTGTCCGTTTTTGATTGGTCGCATGTATTTATTTTATTTTTGTTTTTTAAAATGAGAAGCTCTGGCTGAAACAGAGTCTTTGTCATTTTTTTTAAATCATCTATCTTCTCTTTCGACATTTCTGCGACTTTTCTTCTCATCGGTGATATCGAAGAATTCCCAGAGACAGCTATTTGTCTCCGATAAAAGCTTCGGTGGCGAGTCGATGGCGGCGGCTAGTACTCCTCTCCAATAATCCGAGCCGGCGGCAAATCCGCTACAATCAGTACCATACATCAGCGAGTCCTCGCTTACTGTGGTTCTTTGGAATTGGTAAGTAGGTGCACTCGCTTGTTGTAAAAGCTGGATTTTTGGTTGCATCATCTGTTATTAATGCTCTCATTACAATGTATTTCAATTGCCAAATCGCTGTTAGTGCTCACCTTGTGTTTGAGGAAGCATCTCTGCATCTGATTTCAAACTCTCATCAATGTGATTTCTGTTGTCCGAATTGGTGAATAGAGTACTTATTAGAGGGAAACAAAATAAGAATAAAGCTGTGTAGTTAGGCTAGATTGCAAATTGCAATGCACATTTTGGTTAGACAGTAAAGCCCAAAACAATTGCAAACACTTCAAATTGTGTCTATTTGGAATTATATAACAATTTGGTTTCTTTTTCTGTTGTTTATTGCCTACAAAATTGGAGACTTTCAAGTGTTTGAAGATGTTCTTACTCAGTCTTTCTCTCTTTTGTGCTTTTGCAGCTTTAGAAGACCTGACACAGCATTTGAGAAGTGAAAACAAGAATTCGCAGGGTCTCGTGGAGAATTTGATGAATGAGATAGCTTCAATCAGGCATGTATCCCATATTAGTATCTTAATCGTCCCTGAAATGCTTATGGAGCTGTTTGTGTTTGAAGAAGTTGGAGCCTTGTGAATGTAACCATAGCAATCTTGTTCCACAGATTCACCAGGGAAGAGGAGTGTCTGGAGTATCAGAAGTGTCTTGCCGAAGAAGAACAAAAGAGTAAGAAGCAATTCTAATTGAAGAGTGTTCTTGAGCCTTTCTTGTTTTCTGCATCAAGTTGATTTATCCAAACCAATTCAAAAATAAGAACTCCTCCAGAGTTCAACCATTGGAGATAACAATATTTGCAAAAGTAAATTGAAGATCTTAACTTACATTATTATTAAATTTAATAATAAAAAATTGTTAAGACTCTTTAAGAGGTTCAACCATTGGATATGGTCTTAGAGTGTCCACACTAGGGTTTCTCATGTGTAATTCTCTATATATATGGCTGTAATGTGTTCACAAGAATTATTTTAATATACACAAGTATTTTTTCACATGAAATTCTCTCTTATATTTCTCTTGTGTTCTTATCTTAAAGATAGTCTAAGTAAGAACACGTTTAGGGCTGCTTATAGCAGCCAAATATACTCTTGAAATCGTCATTTTCTAAGTAATTCAAGAGTGATTCATTTGCTTTTCTCATTCTCTACTAAAGAACAATTTCTAGTTCTCTTGTTATTTTCTCTCTTAATCATGAATCTAATTACTGATTCTTATCCTTCTCTTGAGTATACAAACTTTTGTTGTGTTGTATTACTCCTCAGGTTCAGTCTCAAATAGATTTATTTCTCTTTTTGTTAGAATCAATTTCATTCACTTCAGTGAGGTTCTATCAAGTTCTTTGTGTTGGTTCAGTCACAAGATGATTGTTCCTTCTCTCTATTTTCAAAAATTCCAACATGGTATCAGAGCCAGATTTCTTTCTTGGTGACTTTCTAAATCTCATTTATTTCACCATTTATCATTTCAAGACTGTTTTTTTTCTTGTTTAAAGTCATGGAAAACACCAAGTATTGTGTTATTTCGTGGCTCTTGTTGCTTAAAGCTCACAGAAAACTCTTCTCCATATGTTATTCTGTGAGTAATTATTTTTAAAGCCATTAAAACACCAAAGTTCTTGCTGTTCTTAGTAGTTCTTGGCTCCCTTTGCTTCCGCAAAACTCAGGAAAACAGAAAAAAAAAAACTTTGTCCATATGAACTCTTGAGCAAACTCTATTCTCTATTCTCCATTATTCTCTTTATTCTCTTTATTCTCTTTAATTTTTCTGCTTATTTTCTTTATTCTCCACTATTCTCTAAACACTATTCTCTCTCAATATTCTCTTTATTCTTCTTCATTCGAATTGTTCTTTATTCTCTCAACCTCTCACGGTCATAAACTCTCTAAATCTCAAAGTTTCAAACCGTGAGATGGTGTTTTGTTTTTCTTTTGGGTTCACTTGCTTTCTCAAGGAAGTAGAGCAAGTGCGAAGTGTTCTGAAGTAGTCACATGATCTGGAGGTCAGTTGTGGCTAGATTCAAACACTAAAGGCTTCAAGAAAGCCATAAAGATTCGCAGCACAATGCTTGGAGTTTGAACCAGTAACCATAAAGCTACGGAGACCACAAGACAAGCCCAACATAGTCTTAACCCGACTGACTTGAAGATGGTGGACCAAAGAGGCTGACCTGAAGACAGCGGACCCCAAGGTTGCTAAGGTGGAAGTTCAAGTGGAGAGGAAAGCTGGTGGGAGGCTCTGAATCAACCTAAACTCTATCCCATTTCAATTTATTTAATTTTCATTACCTTATTAATAGTCCAAAATATTATTAGTAGTTCCCTTATTTGCATTCTCAATTTTCATCAATTCTTTCTTAAAACCCCATGGCAAATACTTTAAAAAATTTCTTTAAATCTTTTGGTAAGGTTTAACGAGGAGGAGTAGGATCATGGAAATTCTCAAAAGAAGGAAAAGATGGCATGAAGAGGTGCATAATAAGGAGAAATCAAGTCAATAAAGGCTAAAGGAATGAAAACACTTGGGAGGAAGGAGCCAGTTCAAAATCAATTTCAAACCAAGGCCATCGCTACATCAAGTAACCGTTAAACTATACTCTTTTTCCCTTCATAAAGTTTTATCCCAATAGGTTTTCTTTTATGAAGATTTTTAATGAGGTAGTTTGGCGTGTTGCAAGCTTGGCCTCTGGTCCTCTTTGGCGTCTCGACGACCAAGCTTGCAGGGGAGTATTAGAGAGGAAGAAGAAATGAAGTAGGAGAGGTCAAAGTCAAGAAGACAAGGCCGAACAAAAGAAAGAAAAGAGGAGGGGAGTCAAGGCCAAAGTTACAAGACAAAGCCGAAGACATCTAAGACTCCTCAATAAAGAACTTCAAGTAATCAGATTTTTACTTAGGAGAAGTAACGCTCAAGCAAAAGAAGAATCAAGTAAACAAGGACTGAATGAAGATTAAGCCAATGGAGCAAACAAAATTCACTCTAGGCTTCAAGATGGTGCAAGGGCTGAATTGTATGGTTACAATGAAGGCCCAAGACGTGTCTAGACTAAGCAACCCATGAAGAAAGGAAGAGAAGGTGGCTGCTAAGTTCAAATATGGTTTATGCGCCAAAGGGAGATGTCACATGTTCTTGGAAGCAAAAGAATCATATGTGAGCATAAAAGTGACCTAGGAGAGGTCACTATCACTCCAAGAAGGCGCCCATAGCTGTTGGAGTCAAGAGTCACACATGTTCCCTTAATTTAAATTCAAAATAGGGACATGTGACTCTCAAGAGTGTGAACACACCAAAAAAAACCATGAGATGTCACTTTCAAGAGTGTGAACACAAAATAAAGAAGACATGTGACTCTGTAATACAGAACAATATTTTAGAATGTCCACACTAGGGTTTCTCATGTGTAATTCTCTATATCTATGGCTGTAATGTGTTCACAAGCATTATCTTAATATACACAAGTAGTTATTCACACGAAATTCTCTCTTATCTTTCTCTTGTGTTCTTGTCTTAAAGACACAATGTAGTCTAAGTAAGAACCCATTTAGGACTGCTTATAGCAGCCAAATATGCTCTTGAATTTGTCATTTTCTAAGTAATTCAAGAGTGATTCATTTGTTTTTTTCATTCTCTACTAAAGAACAATTTCTAGTTCTTTTGTTATTTTCTCTCTTAATCATGAATATAATTACTGACTCTGATCCTTCTCTTGATTATACAAACTCTTGTTGTGTTGTATTACTCCTCAGGTTCAGTTTCATATAGATTTATTTCTCTTCTTGTTAGAATCGATTTCATTCACTTTAATGAGGTTCTATCAAGTTCTTTGAGTTGGTTCAGTCACAAGATGATTATTCCTTCTCTCTATTTTCAAAAATTCCAACACCAATACCTAAAGCTGATTCACTCGTGTGGCAGTTTACAGATGTTGGCTCCTATAATATTAAAACAGGATATCGATACACCTTGCTTAACATGGCACCAGAGGAAACATTAGAGCACCACTAGCTGATCACCCAGACTTGGCACAGGAAATTTGGCGATCAGATCTAGTCCCAAAAATTAAACATTGCATTTGGAGGCTTGCATCATGAGCCATTGCACTGAATGCAAATCTTAGGCATCACAGAATTGGTGTGGACCGTTTTTGTGCTAGATGTTGCCAATACTCTGAAACGAGTGAGCATATATTCTTCTCATGTCAATATGCGAAGGAAGTCTGGCGCCTAACAGGAATACCAATGCACATTATTGGAAATCGACAAATTTCATTAGAGGACAAACTACGACTCCTTTTCACCCTCCATCAAAACCACTCAATATCTGATCTGCATCGGCAATACCCTTTTTGGGTTTTATGGAGGTTATGGAAGAGCAGAAATGATCTCCTCTTTAATCCTAACAACACCAATGCAGTCGAAACATTGAGACGAGCAACAGAGGACGCCAGAGAGTGGTTGAACAGCAACACTGATGCATCAAGATCTGCACAAGGAGGCCAGAGTCAACGACAAGCACAAGCACAATGGAAAACCACCAAAGAGTGGTTGGAAAAAATGTAATTATGATGCTTCACATCATGAAGGTAACTTTCTCTCAGGATTCAGATGGATTCTAGGAAATGGCCATGGTACTTTTCTAGAAGTAGGTATGGGGAAATTTTAAGGGAGGTTTACACCTATCGAAGCAGAATGCACATCATTAATTTGGGCAATGCAAGCAACTTTGGCTATGGGATATCGAAAAGTGGAATTTGAAGGGATAACCAAACGATCATGCGCATTATTAATGGAAATATCCCAAATCTCAAGCTACAACACTACCTCGAAGCAATTCCCCAATGAAGTACCAAGTTTGAGCGTGTTAAATTCTCATTTAGACATCGTGAAGCTAACAGATGTGCAGACTTACTAGCTAGAGAGTCCATTAGTGATCCACGTCACTGGGTTATGTACCATTGTTGTCCATCATTTATTTTACCATTTGTAAACCAAGATTCTGATTTGCATAATTAATGAAAGTAAAAAAAAAAGTAGGGCCTATAATTTATTAGAACTGAAAAATATTTGTTTAGTTTAGTTGACAAACGTGTTTACTTTGAAAACAAATAAATGGCAAATGTGTATACGAGAGTTTGAACTCTTCTACTGTGATTTCATCATTTTTGGTCACTCGTAAATGCTTTCGGATTTCTATAGACTTCGACGGATTAGTCTGGGATTCAAACTTACCCACTCAACCCCCAAAAAATTATTACAACATAACCTTACCCAGTCAACGTAACTCCCAAAAAATTATTACAACGTAATATGTAATAAAAGCTAATTATAAAGAGAGCAAGAGAACTCAAAACTCTTAAAAGCTAAAATCGTCTAAATTTGCAGCAAACATAGATAAATCAGGAATTGTTAATCATTATGCCTAAATAAGAATAATATGTCATGAGATCGAGTTGAGAGACCCATGAAAGAGATTTTTGTTCTGTGTGAAGCGGGGAGAGATATCGAAAACTTTATACTCAAGTTCAAAACATGTCTAAGATTTTTGTTTTCTTGCGTTTCGGGTCTACCATTTAAGATCAAAACATATCGTCGTCTCTTCAACCATAAAAAAAAGTGTTTGTCTTCATGATATTTAATGTTCTGTTACAAACTCCAAATTCATACAATAAAGTCAGATTCAATGGCATTAAAGGTGAGTGACTGAATTTCAATTAAAAAAGCTAACAGTAATCTTTTTTTTTCAAACTGTATAGTATTTCATAATTTGTCCCCAACAAATGTATAAAAAACACAAACTTGTCGTCTCAAAGTTTCTTTCTTTTTAACTTAATCTTGAAGCAAAATCCGGAGAAAAGTATGCTCCTTTATTTTCAATGGTTTCATACCTCAAAACCAGCTCTTGTTTCTCAAACCCCATTTGATCATTTGTCTTTAAACCCTCAACGACAAAACTACAAATAAAAACGGCAAATTTCTTTTTCTTTTTTTTTGTCTGAACACAAAAACGCAAACTTTATGCACAACACAAACTACTAAAATCTTTGAACAGCAAACAAATAAATATTCTCGAAAAAACAAAAAAATTCGACATTTCTCTCTCTCTCTGTTTCGATCATGACACCAATCTATCAATTCTTCATCTTTTGGTTCTTCTTACATTTCTCTGAAATCTCCGCAGATAACAACAAGAATCTCATCTTCAAAGGTTGTGCAAACCAGAAATTCCCAGACCCAACCGGTGTTTTCTCTCAGAATCTCAAAACTTTATTCACTTCCTTAGTCTCTCAATCAGCACAGACTTCTTTCGCGTCAACAACCGCCGGAACCGATAACGCAACCGCCGTAATCGGCGTTTTCCAGTGTCGCGGCGATCTCACCGCCGCTCAGTGCTACGATTGCGTCTCCAGAACCCCAAAACTCGTCTCTAAGCTCTGCCGCGGCGGCGGTGACGACAGAAATGTTGTGGTGGCGGCGCGTGTGCAGCTCTCCGGTTGTTATCTCCGGTACGAAGTCTCAGGGTTCCGGCAGACTTCCGGCACTGAGATGCTGTACCGTGTCTGCGGGAAAAAACACTCCGGCGATCCTGGTTTCTCCGGGAAGAGGGATACAGCGTTTGGGATGGCGGAGAACGGTGTGAAAACAGGATCATCCTCCTCCGGCGTCGGCGGCGGCGGCGGAGGAGGAGGAGGAGGGTTTTACGCGGGGCAGTATGAGTCGGTATATGTGTTGGGACAGTGCGAGGGTAGTTTGGGAAATTCAGATTGTGGAGAATGTGTGAAAGATGGATTTGAGAAAGCCAAGAGTGAGTGTGGAGATTCAATCTCTGGTCAGATTTATCTTCATAAGTGCTTTGTTAGCTACAGTTACTACTCTCATGGCGTTCCAAACATTTCTTCACTTTCAGGTAACACAAATACTAACAAAAATTCAATATAATATTTGAAAGAAAGAAAAAAAACAAAGATTTTGAAGGTTAAATTAAGCTGTAAATATGCCAAGAATTGGATGATTTGTTGTTACAGATGCATACACAAGGATCTTGTAGAGGAATATTTGAATCTTTTATGTATTTCGTTGTCATATAGATTAAACAAAAACTAATGGAAACAATTGACCAGAAAAAACAAAACTAGTGGAAGAAATTAAAATATAAAAGCTAGTGGGGGAAATAGATTACTTCATAGAACAGAATACATTTTTTTTTCCTTTTCAAATTTTAGTATGTTGACACTTGACACATCATTTATACATTTATTTATTTTCTTAAAATTTTGGAGAAAGAGTTATAATAATGGAACAGGCATTGATGGGTGTTGTGTACTTGTGTGTGTAGATGGAGAGAAGAGACAACACACAGAAAGAACAATAGCTTTGGTGGTGGGAGGAGTTGCAGTATTAGGGTTTGTGATTGTTTGTTTGTTGGTTTTGAAATCTGCTATGAAGAAGAAGAGTAAATATGATGGTTATTGATTTTACCTACAAAATTTAATGATTAGTACGATAGTAGTAACTAGTAACCTGTCAAATTGTAGATTCAAGATCAACTATGATATTTGATTTGAATAATGAAGAGATTGGCCAACTTACTGATTATTATTTGTTATTCCATTTCCAATGATGTAGATCAGATAAAAAGCATTCCCACAATTGGATTAAAGTTAAAAAATAGGTCATCATAATAGAAAATTGTAGCAATAACTCAACAAGAGCTTAAAGCAGCTTTGGTGAAACAAATACAAGTGTATGTGACTCTCTCAATTTCCTGATAAATCCAATTTTGGGTCGTTTTCAGTTAGAAAGAGTGAAGCTTTATTGGTAGCTCAAAGGGATATACTTTGGGAGCTTTGGAGTTAGTGATATCAGTACTGAGTGATATTCACAGAATCCAACTATACATTTCACTACATTTATTTTTTACTCTGTTTATCCTCTTTAAGTAACTGTGACACTATTGAACAGTATGCACAATAATGGAAAAACCATTCAACAAGTAACACTGTAAAGCTTATTGGTTTGTAAAAAACGACATGTATTTGCGAAATTCCAAATGGATTTTAATTAAAACCCCCCTCAAGTAAAAATCAATTGAGAAGATACCCCTTAACTATGAAAATAATGTAAAAACCCCTCCTCAAGTATGATCCCTTAAATATATACCAATACTTGAATCTTTTACTTGAGGAGAACTGGTTGTACTAAAACCGATTTAGTATGCGAGCCTAAACTTCCATTATCTCTTACTGCGTTTGATTATACATTCTTCAACTCGGTTCTCGTACCAGCTTAGGAAGGTTTTAAAGAGAAATCAGGCTAAGAGCAGATAATTTGTTCTACTCTGCATAGCTTTTTGACCAAAAAACTAATTTGGTTGATCGTGAACATACAAGTTCCCAAACATCATTTTACAGAGATCCCTGAGCCAAGAAAGAAGCTGAAATATCTTCTTTCACCTTAAACCCTTAATGAAACAAAGGCAAACAAACTTTGCAATCACATCAAACTTATCATAAGGAACTATCCATGAACAATGAACAAGGCCATCTTCAGGGTTTTGGTAAAGGCTAAGCCATCCAAAGAATTAGATCAAATCATTCATATTAAGAAGTTTCAGAACTCTTATGGCATATACATGAAAGGATTCCAGAAAACTAAAAAACTCTAACTTCATCGCCTAATGGTCATATATTTTATTGCTATTACGAATTATTCATCCATAGAAATCAGAATTATCGATTGCCAAATCAATCTCAAGATGATATTACAAAAAGTCGAAACTTTATGAGAATCCAAGATGTGTAAAGCAAAGCCACTCTTATACGAAATTCGAATCCGATATAATAAAAGACATAACATAAAACTAGTAAAACAGAGAACCCTAAATTGAGCTCAAACAACATCGTTGCAAGGAGTCTTTCTTCTACAATCCCCTTGGAATAGGAGTCGCAGTCGCCGGAGCTCCGAGTAGACTTGCCTGCTGAAGATCTATCTCGTTGAGCTGCGCCTCACGATCCATCTCGATGATCAACGGAACAACGAGGATGAGAAACGTCGTGCCGGCGATCCACGCCGCTTTTCCCGTGCTCCAGAGAAGTTTCTTCGATACACCGACGGCGTCTCCCGCCGCGCGTCTTCCTTGAGACACGATCTCGGAATTGGAGATCCTTGACAAGATGTTTGGATCTCCGCCGCCGGATTTCCCGGCTCCACTGATTCTCTTCGCCGCCATCAATTCTGATAATAGTCCTTTGGTATCTGTTTTCGCTTTACGCAGATTGAGAGAGAGAGAGACGATATAGCTACGAGGGTTTTGTTCCCCTTTAATTGGGCCTTAATTAATAAATCGGCCCATAATATCATTGCTAAATCTGCGTGTCTCAAGACTTTCAACGGTGCAGATTAAATTCCACTCAGCTTCAGGTGAAACCGTCCGTACATTAAATCGGTTTGGTTTGTTCTCTTCTTCGCAACCTACGCGCTCTTTCAGTGAGCGAGAAGCAAATCCGAAGGCAGGAAGCTTTTTATTTTTCTTCACTGAATCAGTTTCCGAGGAGAAGAGTTTCTGATTCGTAATTTTAAGCGAGTAATTAAGAGATTTCGAGGTTTTCTTCTCTTCTCTTACCATTTCGCTCTGATCCTGCAGCGTTATTAGGGGTTTTTATCCTCTTCGTCTGATGGTGCTCTGATGAAATTTAACCTAGCTTGTTTCGACGAATTTCTGATGTTTTTGGGTTAATCTAAGTATTTGATGTCATAATTGTTAGGTTTTGCTTATCACAGTTTCCCGAATTTTAGGTTGTACGAAGAATGCAGTTTTTGTTTGCTTTGTATATGATCGTGATTCTGCCATTTTCTAGTGGATCATCGTTTTTCTATTCAAAATTTCCGGTGTACCTATGACTCTTTTTATTAGAATTAGTTTTCTCTGTTTGCTATATTCCTCTTAAATTGCATTATTATTAATGGTTTATATGAGTTTACTGTGACATTTGTGTGTTTCCACTTTTGCAGTGATTTATTATTATGTGATCTTTTTTTTTTTCATTATTCACAGTTTTCCAAAGTTATGGTGAACAGTGAAACCATGGTTGCAGAGGCATCTGGTGTTGTGGGTTATACTTCTGCTGGCTATACCTCTGCTCAGAATGGAGATTATAATGCGTCTGTTGCTCATGTGGAAGTAGGGAAAGAGAAAGCTGGTCCTATAAGCCACAACGATGCAGCAAATGTTGATTCTTCTCAATCGGCTAATGATAAAGCTTTGGTCAAAGGGACTGATACTGAAGCTGGTAACGTTACACCAATTGCAACGGATAACACGGCTCTAACAGCTCCTGCATCTGAGCATGGATACTCTTCTGGTAATATGCTGTTTTTTACTGGTAGCTTTGTGCGGGATTATTCGAATTTATGCTTTCTCAGTTGACACTGTACCATTTGATCGATCTTTAAGTGGTCAGAGTCGCTGAAACTTGGCGTTGACTTTCAGAGTATAATAACATCTTGCTCATTCATTCTCTGTTATTGCAGTGGCTACTCTTTCACCAGAAGAGGAGCGCTTATGGAAAATTGTAAGAGCTAACACCTTACAGTTCAATGCTTGGACTGCCCTGATCGAAGAGACAGAGAAGATAGCTCTGGTATGTGTCATTTTTTCATAACAAAATTAGTGTCTGCCTGTGTATACAGCTTTGTCCTCTAAAGATTCTGTGTGGCGTTTGGAATGTGCGGCTCTTGAATTTATATACCTTATTTGTTGTTTGAATCTTATGAGAGATGAACATGGCTTACTCTGTGTTTCTGTATTTGCTTTTATCTCTCTGTATCTTTATAAGTTTATCTATCAAGTCTTTATCCAGCTGTTCAGTTTTGTTAATGTGTATTTCACCCCTCTCTGTACAGGACAACATAGCGAAACTCCGAAAGGTCTATGATGCATTTCTAGCTGAATTCCCTCTATGTTATGGGTATTGGAAAAAGTATGCGGATCACGAGGCTCGGGTAGGGGCAATGGACAAAGTCGTGGAAGTTTATGAAAGAGCAGTGCAAGGAGTGACATATTCCGTAGACATCTGGTTGCATTATTGCATTTTTGCCATCAATACATATGGAGATCCGGAGACAATTAGACGGTAATGGATGGTTATTTCTGTGTATTGAAAGCCTAGTTGACTTCTTAATTACCTAGGTTAAGTGATTTTGGTTATTCATCTAACCCTTTTCTTAGATTGCAAACAGCAAGTCCTCTCAGTTGTGGCGCAAAGATCTTATGGAATGAACTTTCGTAGTTTTTTATTTCCATTTTTTAAAATTACTCATTGTTTGAAACTTTTCGATTCTTTTCTTTAATCACTATAAACTATGCCTGTTTTATTTTTCACCCTCGGAAGTGCATCCTTATGCTAAATGCTGTTGGAAGATGTCAACATTTTGGGCTTAGATAGCCTCTGACTGCTCGATTTTGGCTGGGAAGGTAAACGCAGTGTTTGCCAGTGTCATACATTCAAAGAGTGAATACTTTTTCTCCATAGAGTTGGTGTCCGTTTTAAGTGATTAGACGTATCTGTGTATAACTCGTCATATATCTTATCAAATACATATTATTTGAATGAATGCTGTTGCAGACTTTTTGAGCGAGGATTGGGTTATGTTGGCACTGATTTTCTGTCCTGCCCACTGTGGGACAAATACATTGAGTACGAGTACACGCAGCAGGATTGGTGCCGACTTGCAGTGATATACACCAGAATACTAGAGCATCCAATTCAAAACATCGATAGATATTTTAGTAGGTAGTTTCACGAACTTAATCCTATCATATTCCTTGGCGCTAAATTGGATAAACCGATTTGCAATAATTTTTTTTATATTTTCAGTGGATTGTTATGATATAGTATTACATTGTTCTTTTTTCTGTGTTTTTTAACACTCACTGTTTTTTTTCCAGTATTGATGTGTGCTTATGTGGTTTGGTTGTAGTTTTAAGGAATTAGCTGAAACACGGCCACTATCGGAACTAAAGAGTGCTGAGGAAGCTGCGGCTGCAGGGGGTACTAGTGAAAGCGTACCATCTGATTCTGGAGAAAAGGCAGATGAAGAACAATCTCTGAAGTCAGAAAAAACTGCTGCATCTGACCCAGAGGAGCTGAAGAGATATATCGACATCAGGGAAGACATGTATAGAAAAGCTAAAGAGTTCGAATCTAAAGTCATTGGCTTTGAGATGGCTATAAAACGGCCCTATTTCCATGTGCGGCCTCTCAGTGTTGCAGAGTTGGAGAATTGGCATAGTTATCTGGATTTCCTAGAACGTGATGGAGACTTTAATAAGGTAATGGGGTAGTTGAATCTCTAGACGTGGATATACGTGTGGTTCATAGATTGAGTCGTACCTTTGCAATATTATTGGTTTACAGTTGAGTAATATCTGGTGCATTATATACTTTATTGGGTAACCTTGGATCAAAAAACTTTAAATGGAAATTAACTGAGACTAAAGATGGGCCCTCCATTTGGTAATTAAAGGCTAAGTACTTCGAGCTTTCATTCGCTAATGGACATTTTAGGTTTATTTGTTACCCTTTGTTTTTAAAGCTCAAGTGTTATTAATGCAGGTATGTCTTCGTAATAATCTGTCTGTCTGACGGTAGTTTAGGGCCCCTATGTTCCTCTTATGGAGTATTTCTTGTGATTTCTTTTGGTTTCTGTTGTTTTCATAATTTGTTTTTCCCGTTATCTAGTCATTATATACGTGTTCTACACTTTTTTCAATAGGTAGTGAAGCTGTATGAAAGATGTCTGATCGCATGTGCAAATTATCCTGAATATTGGATTCGGTACGTATTAAGCATGGAAGCAAGTGGAAGAGTGGATCTTGCAGATAATGCCCTTACTCGAGCAACTCAAGTTTTTGTCAAGGTATGAAATGTTTCATGATTTTCCCACCATCTAATTTCTTTACTTTTAATAGATGTTTTGTGGTGTGAAAGAACTTTGGAATCTTCTCTAAATTTCCTTTTACCTTCTATTCTGTGGCAGAGACAACCAGAGATTCACCTTTTTGCTGCTCGATTAAAGGAGCAGAATGGGGACATAACTGGTGCGAGAGCTGCATATCAACTTCTGCACTCTGAAATTTCTCCTGGCTTTCTTGAAGCGATAGTAAAACATGCAAACATGGAACAACGACTAGTAAGCTTCCAAGAACAAGAGGATTAAGAACTATTATATTGACTTATCATGACTATACTTTACTTAACTTTTCTTTTCATATAATCCGTAGGGGAAGCTGGATGATGCTTTCACTTTGTATGAGGAAACGATTGCTATTGAAAAGAAGAAGGAACAATCTACAATACTTCCGATGTTGTATGCTCAGTATTCACGGTTTTCATTCTTGGTAAGTCCCGTGATCTGCTGAAAATATAAACACTACAAAATTTATAGCTTTGGTTGTTTTGATAAGTAGGATCGTTTGATAGGTTTGGCTTCTTATTTTTCTCATTTGCCCTCTCAGGTTTCTGGGGATGCGGAGAAAGCTAGGAAGATTTTAGTCGAGGCACTTGACTACGTACAACCATCAAAACCTCTCTTAGAGGTTTGTCAATTAGATTTAACTTGTTTGATCTTTTTTTCTTTCTTCTGTGTGTGACGAGCAATAACGCCTTGTCATGGACACTATGTATAGGCTTTGATTCATTTTGAGACGATCCAGTCGCCACCAAGGCAGATTGATTACCTAGAGCCACTTGTCGAGAAAGTAATAAGACCAAATGCAGACACGCAAAATATTGCTAGTCCCACTGAGAGGGAAGAGCTATCATCAATCTATATTGAGGTTACAAAACACAATTTGTGAACCTATTTGGAGACGATCTATTTGATTGGTTCTAATTCAGTTGGGTGCATGGATTTTACAGTTCCTCGGCCTATTTGGAGACGTTAAGTCCATAAAAAAAGCAGAAAATCAACACGCCAAACTCTTTCAACCTCATCGACGTACACCGGAGCTGAGAAAGCGTAGCGCAGAAGATTTTCTATCTTCAGACAAGTCTAAGATTGCAAAAACGTACGATGGGACCACCCCACCTGTTCAGCCAGTTCCAAATGGGCAGAGTCAGTGGCCTGCTAACTATGCAGCACAGCCTCAGACTTGGCCACCCGCACAAACTGTTCCTGCACAGCCTCAACAATGGAATCCTAGTTATGGCCAACAGGTGAACAAAGTTATAATTTAAGTTACTCATTCTTACATTATAACATTGGTTAAACTTTGCAGTTTGTTTAGGTTAGTATTGTATCGACTGTTGAATAAAAACGAAATCCATTATCTAGAATGTGTCAGAAGATATAAGTGCTCATTCTTTTTTTTTTTACATAATGATTAGACAAACGTTAGAGACAAATCAATTTTTTATATAATGATACTTGTATTTTTTTACATCATAATGTATTGGTTACTAAACCATATAATTATAGGCAGCTTATGGTGCATATGGTGGTTATCCTGCTGGCTATACCGCACCACAGGCAACGCAAGCCGCTGCTTATGGTACATATCCTTCACCATATCCTGCTCAGGTACACAATCTTCCTTTTACTAATGTAAAAATTGTTGACCAGACTGAGTTTTTGCAATTAGGTTAACTAAAAGATTTGGAGTTTTACAAATTTGTCTTCTTTGTAAACTTTTCAGACGGCTCAAAGTTATGCAGCTCCAAGTGCAGCTGCAGCCATAGCTCCGGTTGCAGCTCCGGTTGTGCCTGTTCCTCAAGCATACTACGGTTCTTACTATGGTTAACTCCACCGTGACCTGACCATCGGCTACATTAGTGTTTCTCTCTTGTGTCTTAATGTTATTCTATTTACTCTGTTCTGTATTACTGAGACATTAGTTTAGTCAAAAAAGAGTAAACGTCTCTCTTCGAAATCTTCTGGTAATGGTCTAAAGTATGTTCATTCGTCTTATGAAGAAACGGATTTTTTTTTTTAGAAGGATATGTTTGGCCTTCTTCAGTTGGTTGATCCTATTGGGTGTGTGTAGGTAATCGGTCGGTTATGTTGCAAAATTATTAAGCGTTTGGGTTTGTTTTAGCACGACATCAAAACTTATGGGGTTATATTCATGAGTAATAGGAAGACAAGATCCATAATGTAATAGCGAAAGTTTGGGGGTTATTTATGGACGACCTCAAAACTTATGGGTTATATTCATGAGAAGTTTTTTTTAAAAAATAAAGACAAACTGGAATAATCCTAAACTTTCTAGGCCTAAACTAATATCCAGCAGCCCAACATCTAGAGTCTACCCCAAGACATTCTCAAGTGTGTCTGGTGGCCAAGTGAAATTGAACCCAAAGTTAGGGACTTAGGGAGCAAACACATATTCAATCCTTTTCCAAGCTACTGTGAGACCACCACCACGTGTTAATGATTTCACGATCTCAGCAGATTTTCATATTGGGTTATTTGATTTGATTTTTTTTGTTTGGTTTTGGATAGTTCTAATATAGGGATTTAACAATCATAATGAAACAAAATAATTTTTGGTTCATTTAAGTTTTGATCGGTTTCAATCGGTTAAAAAATGGGGTTTTAGTGAAAAAACCCTCAAGTAAGTTTGAATCGGATAGAAACTCCTCAACTACTTTTGTAACGTAAAAACCCTTTAACTAATGATTTAGCCCCTCCGTGAACGGTACCGTCAAATCTTAACGGATTACAGTTAAATGAAAATGTGATGTTTTGTATTTTATAAAAAAAAACAAAATGACCTCAATAAAAGAAAACTCAAAATCGATTTGAAACTAAAAATTCTCAATTTAAAAATTAGGGTTCCTCATTCAATTTAAAAATCTCTTAAATTCTTTTTCTAACTAAATTCGTTGGAAGAAGAAGAACAAAATTTTAAAAATCAAAGTAAAACAGTTGTCTCATCTTCTTCCAAGCTTCAGATCTGTGAATTTTTTCTCCTCTTTCTCCCAATTTGTGAGACTGGGCTTTTCTCTCAAATTCGTTTTAATCAACACAACAAATCATTTTCAATCTCACCCAATTGACTTCAAAACTATAAAAACTACTTAGAATCACACTTTCAAAATTAGGGTTCATTAATTTAGGTTTAAGAATTTAGGGATTTTAGAGATTATGTTTAATTTGAGATTCTTATATCTGGTTTTCAAAAAGCTTGTTATTTATAGTAAAAATCGTGTAGTTTTTGCTAAAAAAGAACGATTTGTTAAGATTTGACGGTGCTGTTTACGGAGTGGCTAAATCATTACGAAAACTTAGTTGAGAGGTTTTTACTTTAAAAAAAATAGTTGATGAGTTTTTATCCGATTCAAACTTAGTTTAGAGTTTTTTTCACTAAAAAGCCAACCAAAATTAAGAAAATGTCTCAAATCCAAAATATTTGGCTTTGATTCGGATTTAAAATCTAACTTAATGCTAGTTGTCAATATAAAATCTAATGTTAATGAATACTATAAATATTATTTACTCTAAAAAATTCACTACAAAGATGGTATTATTGTTAATTTCTACTAATGTATTTATTTTTTAAAGTGTTCCACAAAATTAATGTTTGAATTATGAGGTTTTTCGGCTGAATTATTATTAATGAAAATTATGATAACACTATGGCTGTACTTCTACCATATTCATGATAGAAAGTTTTAGTTATAACATACTAAAACACGATAAAGAATTCTATTTGCATCACGGTGAAAATTTACTGCAATTTATCTCTATTGATATGCATCAAATCATTTTTTCTAGAAATCAAAATACAGAAATACAAATCAATTTTAAAAAGATTTCAACAAAAAAATATTAATGAACCTTAATCAATTACTAGACCAAAAATGTCTGTAAGTTATAGAAGTTTAAGGCTATATTCCTTAAAACCTATGAGTGAAATTACTAATTTTATGTATACTATACAAAAGAGTCAAAAACCCAAGATCTATATTGTAATTAACAAAAACAAATCAGGGTTATTCAAGTACCACCCAAAAATATTTGGGGCAAATTTATGAGAGAAAGTAAGATAAGATCTCATATCTCTAAAAAGAGCGCTTCCTCTTAAATCCTTTACCCTATCTAGCTAGACACAAAAAACCCCTTTAATCTTTTCTTTTTCCCATTCTTGTAGATCTAAAAAACACCATTTCTTTTTGTCTGTAAACCCTATATAAATCTCATTTCTTCTTCTTCTTCTTCACCCTTCTCAGATCTGTTCTACTTCAATTGAATAGACCACCTTTCCTTTTCTCTTCTCGTCATCGCTTTCTCAAAACCAGTTAAACTTGGGGAAAGTATACTTCGACTTGACGGGTTTCCTTTTCGTTTCGATTTCCTTCAAATCTTAGGGTTTGGTATAAAACCAGATCTTGGTTTGTTCATCTCGATCGTATTTTGAGCTCTAGTAGTGTTAATAATGGCGACTCCTTATCCTGGAGCGATGCAGGCGAGTTTCGTTTCACAAATTCGATAATAGATTCCTTCTTTTTTATTTCTTACGGTGAATCGCGATTTCGGTTTTGTTGATTAGTCGAATCGGTGTCTTCTATGTGTGTGTGTGCAGGTGGGTTCGTACTTTGTGGGTCAATACTATCAAGTGTTGCAGCAGCAGCCAGATCTTATTCATCAGTTTTATTCCGATAACAGTAAAGCGATTCGTGTTGATGGTGACTCGACTGAGACTGCGAACACTTTGCTGGTAAATTAAGATTAGATTCTTTTTTCAGCTCGTATAGTTCATAGGATTCAATCTTGTTTTTACCTTTGATGATTCGAGAATACAGCTGGTAACTTTGTTCGACTCGTAAAGATTTGTGCTTTAGTTGATTATCGATTTCTGTGTGGCTGCAGCATATTCACAACATGGTCATGTCACTGAATTTCACCGCGATAGAAGTGAAGACGATCAATTCAATTGAATCGTGGGAAGGTGGTATTCTTGTGGGGGTTACAGGCTCTGTGAAAACCAGAGAATTCAGCAACAGAAGGAGTTTCACGCAGACTTTCTTCCTTGCTCCTCAGGAGAAAGGTTATTTTGTTCTCAGTGATATGTTCCACTTCGTTGATGAAGGAACTGCCTTCTATCATCAACCTTCTTATTTACCCGAAACCAAGCACGAGGCTCAGCTTAATCCTCCTAGCCCTCATCCAGAACCACAAGGTTTGTTTTGCTAAGTCTCGGAAAAAAATAGAATTTTTGTTTGATTTTCAGTTTAGATTTAAAGTTGACATAAGTGTTTTTGAGTTTACAGTTCCTGACTATGTTCTGGAGCAAGAGGCAAGAGATTACGTGAATGCAGTCCAAATCAAAGATGATCTTGTCGATAAGTACAGTCTGCAAGAGGACCAGCATCAACCTCAACATGAAGATTATGAGGATGAAGTTGCCGTTGAGGAAACACCTAGGGAGGAAGTTGTGGTTGACGCGGTACATGAACCTTGGGCTGCCCCAGCTGAGGAACCCGTTGGTGAAAAATCAAAGATGAGTTATGCTTCCATTGTAAGTACACAATCTCTATGGTCATGAGTAGTTTTTCAGCATAGTAACCAAATACCATATCTTGCTGGGTTCATTCATATTTGTGTCAAGGGAGCCACTCATAATAGACTGTAGACTCTCTTTTAAAAGATAATGGTTAGAAATGGGGACAGTGATCTCGTACCATGATTGATAGTGATGATTCGGTTTTGTCATTTGTAATCTACTTGGGTTTTGTCTCAGTTAGACTATAGAAACTTGGATGTTTAATTTGAGATCTGTTGTTTTCTCTATTCCTCAGTTACGGGTTGTAAAGGAAGCAGCTTCTGTGCCTGTAGCTGCTACACAACCAACGCATAACAAGAACTCCCAAGATGTTAATGAGTGGGATCAACCACTGCGGACTCCTTCCCCTCAAGTGGCTGCGCCTCTTGCCCCTGCTCAGCAATCAAACGCTTCTTCTCCATATGTTACTGACTATGGAGCAGAGGCAGAAGATGGCTTCGGATTTGAAGACTGTAAGTTGTTCTATACTTAGACCAGCAAAAGTTTTGAACCTTCTCTTACACCCAAAATGGTTAGAGAAGTGAGTGAGACTAGGATGTGTAGCTATGTGATAATATTTGTCGTTTTGGAAATGTATATTCATTTATTGGTTTGCCTTGTTGCAGTTGAGATCAAATCAGTGTACGTTAGGAATTTGCCATCCAACATATCTGCTTCTGAAATCGAGGAAGAGTTTAAAAACTTTGGTACTATCAAGCCTGATGGTGTTTTCCTCAGAACCCGCAAGGTAATAATCGTCATTTCCTTGTTTTTTTTTTTTTTTTGCTTTTCTTCTGCTAAGTGATATGATGATAAAAGCTAACAATCTTTCGCAACCAACCACGCAGGATGTTATTGGCGTTTGCTATGCTTTTGTTGAGTATGAAGACATGACTTCCGTCGAAAATGCTATTAAGGTCTAGATTCTTATGCACAATTACCACCACGCAGCTCATCAGTAGTGTAATAATTGTCTTCTTCTGTTCCCTTTACGATTTGTTCTTATGGGTTTCCCTCTGTTTTGTGAATAGGCTTCTCCTATATACTTGGGTGGAAGGCAAGTATACATTGAGGAACGAAGACCCAATCCCGCTGGTGTTCGTGGAGCAAGTAAGTCTTATTTAAGTGCCATGTAAATTCCTCTTAAGAAATGAAAGTTTTGCCACATGTGAACTCATTTTGAGTGTTATTTTCTATTGACTGATCAGGACGAGGAGGACGTGGAAGGGGTGGTTACCCAACAGAAGCACAAAGAGGAGGCCGGTTTGGTTCTCGTGGTGTGTCCGGGAGAGGAAACCAGGAGGGAGGTGACTACAGGCCAAGAGGCAATGGTTACTACCGTGGTGGCCGCTAAGGAACAAAAGAAAAGCAGCTTGTAAGTTTTAGGGCAACCAAGAATGAATGATTCAGAGGTTCTTCTTGTTCCTTTTATCGGCCAAAGATGTAGTTTGTAATATTTTTTTTTTTTGTTTTTGTTGGGTTTGGTTTTTGCCTTCAAAGATTTTGGTTTATATATGTTTTTAGAGTTAGGGCTTTGACTCTCTTACCACCTCTCCTTTGAGTATGGTTTTAGCTATGTAACATTTCAATTTTTGTTTTTTCCTTTCATCATTGGTTTGATTTGAATTCGGAACTTCAATGTGTTGTGCTGTTTCTTTCTATCTTCGAAACTGTGTGTGAGAGCTTTAACTAAAAAAAAGTGCTTGAAATTTTGTTCGTTAAAGCTCAAAAGATAAATTACAGTTTCATGAAACTTGTTTTTTTTTTTAGGATACAAATTTTTTACACTACAAACACTTTTGGATAATGATGAACCTGTTATAAATATATTGATTATGCATTTATAATAGTTTACATATTAGATTCATTCCCCCCTCCCCTCCCCAAATTTTCTAAATTTTGTCACCAAGTTTCTTCACTATATATATGAACTTTGTAAATGAGTGACAATCTAGTAAAAAAATAAGTAAAATAATATTTAATATTATTCTTCATTCTCTAATTTTCTCTCTCAATTTTTCTTTTTCAGTATCTCCTTTTTAATACTTACATATACTTTATATATATACGAACGATTTTTCAAAATTGTTTTCCTTAACACATTATAAGCACGAAACTCTATTTGCTCGTTCGTCTACGAAAAACAAGAACATCTCTCCGTTCAATTTGAAGATAATATTTACCTTCATATTATCATTTAAAGTTTATATATTATAAATGGTATTATGGTAGATTCTGCCTCCTTCAAAAAAAATATGGTAGGCTCTGACTCCTCAAAATTTATGGTAGACTTTACCTCCTCTTTTATATGGTAGGCTATACATCCTCAATTGTTTTTAATTTTTTAATTCGATTATTTCTTCTCCATTTATGTTTTAATTTGGAAATTTAAGGTATACCTTCTCCGAAAAAGGTTTATTATATGGTAAACTATCTCAAATAATAATTATGGAGTGGAAGGTAAACCTCTTCCTTATTCATATTCATGGAGTGGAAGGTTAAACCTCCTCTTTGTCTATATTTATAGAGTGGAAAGTTAAGCTTCCTTCTTGTTTATATTTATAGTGTAGAAGGTTAAACCTCATCTTTTTCTATATTTGTGGAATGAAAAGTTAACCTTCCTCATTGTTCATATTTATAGAGTCGAATATTAAGTCTCCTCTTTATCTATATTTATGGAGTAGAACTTGTCGGACCAATCAATTTAGATGCCCTAATAAAAGTATAAAATATGTCTTTTTAGATTTTTTTAAAGTAAAAAAATAATAAGAAAAAAAAATATATATTTCATAAAACATTTCAACTCTATAAATAGTTTATAAATCTATAAAAAACAGTAAAACTAATATTTTGTTGTTGAAATATGATTTTCTTTGTTATTTTTCCTACAAAATTATTTATTAAACTCTCATAGCTAAAAAAGCTAACTCATTCAATCAGTAACATAGTAGACTGCAAATAATTTTATTAGTTTTAACTTCAGCTATAGCTGTCTCAATAAGTCATAACACATTTAAGATTTTTTTTTAATTTCTAAAACATAAATTCTTTAATAAAATAATTATTGTTTTAAAATATGCCCTTAACCAATATTTTTTTCAAGAAAAACCCATAAACATTACCAAAAAAATCTACAAATATCATTATCTTATAAAAAAGCCTACAAAATTTGTTTACTTATATATTTCTTATAAGAAAATTTAACCAAATTATGCCCCAAAAATTGGATGCCCTAGGCCATCGCCTACCTCGTCTATGCTCTGGGCCGGCCTTAGTAGAAGGTTAATCTTCCACCTTGTTCATATTTATGGAGTGGAATGTTAAATCTCCTCGTTGTATATATTTGTGGAGTGTAAAGTTTTGCTTCCTCCTCATTTCTACGGTAGGTTCATCATCTTCAAAATATATAGAAAATATACCAGGTATGTTATTTTTATGAATTTAAAAGTTTAAGTACTTATTTTATTATTATTATTATTACAATATGTTTAAAGACATTGAAACATGTTTTTAAAAAGTCATAATCTCTTGTGAGAATTTATTAGGCTTGTCAATATAATATTGCTAAAGTAATTAAGAGCTCCTTTAGAGCTAGAAACTCCAGAAGAGTTAAAAAGCTATGGAAGCGTTAAAAGTTCTTAGAAAGCTAATAACTCCAGAGGAGCTAGGAGCTCTAGAAAAGGTTGAAACTCCGGAAGAGTTGGAAGCTCCGAAAAGTGAGAAACTCCAAAAGAGCTAGAAGCTCCGGAAGCTTCACGAATTCAAAGCTTCATAAGAGCTAAAAGCCCTGTAAAAGCTAAAAGTTTTGGAAGAACTAAAAGCTCTGTAAGAGCTAGAAGCTCTAGAAGAGTTAAATTTCCCATAAGAGCTAGAAGCTCCGAAAGAGAAAAATGTTCCACAAGAGCACACGATGGTGACATGCATATGTGATAATAAATGAAAGATGGCAAGAGTATATATAAAAGTAAACCTGAAGTTTACTAATAAATCGGTTAAATCATCCCAGTAGTTCCAAAGATATAAGATAATTGAGAATACATGATAAAAAACCAGAAACTTTTTCAACTATTGCACGTCATAAAGAAAGAAAAAAGTGAAGCCATCGAAAGTATCCATGGATGGATCACCATTTTTTTTAAGCTCATTGGATATGTTGTTGGTCCAAGAGTGCAATTCAATTCGATATGGATAGACTTCGAAGGGGAGAAATAAAGAATCCCACATCAAAAGTAAGCTGAACATCCAGAAGATTATGTCCACGCTTAAAATAAAGCAAATCCAAGCGATTAAAGCTAGTTATGGTGATATCCATGTTGTTGCAAAGAACATGCAGTTTTGCATGCAGTAAAAAGCTGATGGATGCGATGTCATAAGATTAATTATTATTAATTATGGATTGTCATATAAACCTGAAGTTCATGTTGAGTGAAAAATAAATCTCATATTCCAGCTGAGCTCCACTAAAAACAGATGTCCCTGAAGGACAGTCTATTTGAATCTATGACACGTAAGAAACGTGATAGACTACTTTGGTTCCAATCCTCAAAAAGAAAAGGAGCAAAAGAGGATTAATCTCCTGAAAAGATTGAATGACATGGTTAAAGATAAAATCAGGTACTTGAATGAAATCAATGATAAGAGATCTCGATTCACCATGTCATTATATAGAAAAAAAAGTGGAACCAAAGATTAACCTCTAGAAGGAATTAAACCCTGGAAGATTATAGCTGAATTCTGTTCCCGAGAACGCTACTCGATTGAAATAAAGAATGATGATCATCAAAACTCCTGAAGAGTTATCTTGAGTAGTATAATAAAAATGATTATTCCAGAGGTGATATTTTGAACCGGTAACTGGAGATATATTTACAGCACATTTTGCCAATTGCCACTTTGATGAAAATGAACTCCCTGTGTTGGGAGAGGATCTAGATAATCACCAAAAGATATCACATGGTGTACATAAACTTTAGCTTATCTTGATCCTCCTACCAATAACCGCGAGGTGGAAATTCAGAAAAGAATACATTTACAATGTTTGGCAAACAAGTTACCGGATGCGTTCACAGATACAAAAGTGATGAAATCATATATCCCGCTGCTAATGCTCCATCAAAAATAAATGTTCTGGAACAATGTGTTGATGGGAATAGAGCAAATGAACCGCATATTCAACTAAATCGTGGGAGGCCGATGGGCTCGAATGATAAAAATCCTCGAAAGAAAAGAAAATTGAGAGATAAGATTCTAGAAGAACCAGATAAAGATAAATGTCCAGAAGACATTTGTGAAAAGGTTTTAGAAGAACCAGATAAAGAGGTTTGTCCAGAAGATGAACCTGATACTGAAAAATATGAGATTTCCATTAGCTTCGCTCAAAGTGGGACATTATGGGCTAGAAGTAAGATATATGATACAAATGGAGTGTTCTCTTTTTCAGTATCCAGGGAAATAGATCATGAAGATGATCTAGACCCATGGTCCATGTCAGAGTGCCATAAAAAGCCTAACTGGGAGACATGGCAAGAAGCCATGAGAAATGAATTATTCTCCCTGAAGAAAAAAAAATGTCTTTGGACCTGTAGTCATTACATCTGAAGACGTAGTGTCAGTTGGGTGTAAATGGGTCTTTGTGTAAAAGAAAAATGAGAAAAACGAGATCACAAAGTATAAGGCCCGAGTCGTTGCACAATGCTTTTTTCTAATACTGAGAATTGATTATGAAAGAGACATATTTCCCGGTTATGATTGCAGTCACATTCAGGTACTTAATGAGCCTAACGGCATCTAAAAATTTAGAGATGTACCTGATGGATGTGGTGACTACATATTTATATGGTTCACTTGATAGTGGCATATACATGAAAATCCCAGAAGGATTAAAGATCCTAGAAGGATCAAAAATGCCGAAAGCATTTAAGAAAATATGTTCGGTCAAATTACAGCGATCACTTTACGGATTAAAACAGTCCGGACGCATGTGGTATAATCGCTTAAGTGAATATTTGTTGAGTAAAGGAGACATCAACAACGTGATATGCCCTTGTGTATTTTTTAAGAAATCTGCAACGGGATTTGTGATCATTGCTGTATATGTTGATGACCTGAGCATCAGAACTCAAAAGAAGATTGATGATGCAAGAACTCATATGAAAGAAGAGCTCGAAATGAAGAATCTTGGAAAGACAAAACTTGGGCTCCAGATAGAGTATTTCCAAGATGGAATATTGGTGTATCAATCAAATTACACCAAAAGGGTGTTAAAGCGCTTTAATATGGATAAAGTGACTCCTTTGAGTACTCTAATGGTCAATAGATCGTTTGATGTTGACAAAGATCCATTTCAACCTTGTGAAGATAACGAAGAAATATTACGTCCTGAAATACCTTATATAAGCGCTATTGGCGGATTAATGAAGCTTGCAAATTGTACTCGACCAGATATAGCTTTTGCTATCAACCTACTTGCAAGATACAATACATACCCTACACGCAGACATTGGAATGTAATAAAGCACATCTTTCGTTATCTACAATGTACGATTGACTTAGGCCTATTTTATTCAAGAAAACTCGGGGTTGGTCTAGTTGGTTTTGTAGATGCAGGATACTTGTCAGATCCG